ATTAAAAAAAGATAAAAATACTGATGATGAAATATTCTTAAAAAAAAAAAAAGTTTCCTCTTTAGACCAAATGGTATATGAAGTGGTAGTGTGGTCAGCATTATACGCAGCCGCCTTTACTTTTCCTAACGTGAATTGGGACTCATCAGAGCTGGGTGAACTCAGGGCTACTATCTTGAAACAGGATTTGAACTCTAGACTTTCGGATTAGTGGTCTAACTGTACCATCACTTTATAAAAGATAATCCTGAAATGGGCAAGGAACTAACCTAACACGACCTTACAGCAATAGCGCAGACTATGGTCTAATTATTCTAAAGACGCTAATTATTCAATGTCTTCATTAATGATTGATCAAGTCACTATTATGTTTCCTCAAGAAGAAAGAACACGCCGACCACAAAAAAAAAATAAATAAATAATAATAATCTTTTTTCAAACAGCTTTTATCAAATCAAAATATAACAACTCTACGAAGCAGACAAGCCAAGAGAAGACAACCACAACACATAAAGCACTCACACTAAACTTAATTAACACGACTCGGACTAGACAAAGAACACAGGACAAAAAAAAAAAAACCAGACTGGTAGTAACGTTTATATATATAGATCAACTGGATGAGAAATAAGGAATATAGTTTAAGCCTTGTTAAATAAAATAATTATTTTAAAAATGTTTTTTAAAGATAATTGATTAATATACTCTTTGATGTCTAGCCCTGGTCACTATTTTAGAAAGAAATCGTCACTAGGAAAACTTAAAAAGTTGTGATTACACCATAGCCTCAACTATGTACATAAACGTACAATAAACCAACAACCTAGCACTTAAATATAATACTTCTAATATACTAAATATTAAAAAACCACCAATCAAACACCCACAACAAATAAAGCAATCACACTTAACATAATTAACACGACTAGACGAAAAACAGAGGACAAAAACAGACTGATAGTAAATAGTAACGGCTATTTATAGATCAACTGTATGAGAAATATGGCCTATTGTAAAGCAAGCCTAGCTGAATAAATTATTTTTAATGACTATTTAAACATATCTTTCAAAAAAAATCGATACTCTATTGTTTGTCGTCGCGGCCGTAAAGGAGCGTCACGGAAGACAATAGGAGGAGGGAAACACCTGCTCCAGCTGGAGTATTTTACTATATAACATGTCTGCTCTGGCTGCTCAATATTTTACTATATAAACATGTCTGCACAAATTCGGTCCAAAAGGGACCTACTATACTACTACCCAGTGTTTCTTCTAGGATTTTTTCTCCGGGAAGGGGATTTTGATCGCTTATAGTAGAGTGATCGCTTGCATTATTATGATGTATAGCATTTATTTTCTACTTTTTAGTTCAATCAGAAAACGTGTTTTTTTATAAACTTTTTTAATGATTATTATTTTCTACTTTTTAGTCTTTGTCTGTTTGTTTGCATTAAAATCTTGCTATCGATTTTATCTTTTCACTTTTTTTTTGGGTAAACGAAGACAACTCGTAAAAAGACAACTCGTAAAAAGACAACTCGTAAAAAACACGTTGTGTGAATACGTTACTGACTAGAACACATAGATTTGAACCCGTGCCGAGTGGGATAGCAATCGTGTGCCCAACCACTCGACCATATCGTCTCCCCCATACTGGCCACCAGTTGTTACGGTTGTTTGTACACAAATTACAGTTACTGGGTTATGTCCCTTTTTCCCCACGTTTTTACTACAACGAGCCGACCCGCGGCGTATCATATGCCGCTATTTAGTTGATTTATTTTCTACTTTTCAGTAATTCATAATTTGTGAATTCGACAGTACCAATGCTGCCACTGAAAATATTTGCTTTAAAACACTAACCCCCCTCCTTTCCCCTAACCCCGACCCTACACCCCCCCCCCCGTGAAAGCAGCCTCCTCTTAGTTACCTCCTGTAAGTTTAAAGTCGGTTCAAACTAAATTATCTGCCCCTAATAGCCGTCACTAAACCTGGCTGTACGGTTTGTAAACATTAACGTGACCACAGCTCAGCAGACCATGTGGGGGTGGGGTAGGGTGGTAGTGATAGTGATAGAGAGAAAGAGAGGGGACTGTAAGGAGGCGCTTGCAGCTTGTTTTCTAATGGCTCGCAGAGGAGAATTATATATATAGATTATATAGCGGTCTAAAATGCTCAATAAAATGTTTCCATGGATCAATTTAGTAATAATAACAATTGAATATTCTAATGTCATCCAAAACAAAGCTTCCCTGAAAATTTCAGCGTGCTAGCTAACTGGGAAGTGCCAGAAATTTCGATCGCAAGATTTGATTGGAAAGACAAACAAACAGAGACGAAAGCAAGTTAAAAAACGTGGGAAAAAAAAAAAACCCACGTTTTTCTTGTGGACTAAAAAGTAGAAAATAAATTTTCATACATTTGATGACATTTGTGTCGGGCAGATGGGTCGGGAAATTTGATGGTGAACGTACCCACGTTTTTTGTCATCAAATGTATGAAAATTTATTTTCTACTTTTTAGTCCACAAGAAAAACGTGGTTTTTAAAAAGTTTTTTAAAGTATTTTATTTCATCGTGGTGTGTTGCGGTGAATGTGTCGTTGTGTGTCACGGTCGCTGTGTGTCGTGGTCGTGGTCGTGGTCGTTGAGTGTCGCGGTGACTGTGTTGCCGTCGCTGTGTGTTGCCGTCGCTGTGTGTAACTGATGTAGCTGAAGCGGTACAACATTATAGACTGTTTCTCTTTTGATGTTCGCTTCATAGTCTATCATTATCTTGCTCCTAGTGTATCATTCAAGTTAAATCTGTTCTAAACAATTGTAGCCTATGTGTATGTAGAAGTAGCCTATGTAGATGCAAGGTCTCGGTACTCTTAAGCGATTTATAATTATACTAACAAACGGTACCCGTTACACGGGCTATTCTGGTGACTTATAGCTCTCTTCTGTTTACAAAAGGCTACCCGGTTTTTCTATTTAGATATTTATCTCCGGGTAGCGGCATTTAAAACTGTCCGGAGGAGGGTGTGTGGGTTGTGTGTGTGTGTGTGTGTGGGGGGGGGGGGGTGGTTAGCGAATACTGTTCAAGTTGCCCCCCCCCCCCCTCAATCCTCTGAGAAAAAAGTCTGGAAGAAACACTGAGTTTGTGTTCATGAAATGTATCTTGTTTACGCAAATTAAAGTTGAAACAAATTCTAGATCTAGAATCTATTCAGTTGAATTAATAATTTAATAGGGCTACTCTTCTTTAAAAATAAGGTAATATTAACAACAAACGACTGATCTTGTTTCAATCACATAGTTTTTGTGATCTAGATAATTTAAGTTTTCTTTAGACTTGAGCATTTTATATTTAGCAGCACTTTTTATTACTGTAGTGCAGGGGTCTCCAAACTTTTCAGCCCGAGGGCCGCATTAACTATCAAAAATCAGTTCGGGGGCCAGAGTTTCTTTAAGGCATCTTTTTCAGCCCCCCCCCCCCCCCCACCAAATAAAATTTATATAAAATTTATATAGAAATATAAACAAATTTCAAATGTCCCTACCCCACCCGAGGTCCACGTTTGCTCTCAAATTGTTCTTCACGTATTTCATTCTTGAAAATGTTTGTTCACACAGGAATGCTGTTTCAAAATTTGAAAGGTACTTTGATGCAAAAGTTTTTATATTAGGAAAGTCTTCCTTGTCAGAGGCGTAGCAAGGGGGGGGGAGCGGGGGGGGGGGGAACATATGTTCCCGGGCGCCGACCTGAGGGGGCGCCAAAATGGGTTGGAAAAACAAATTGAAAGTTTGAATGGGGGGGGGGGGGTGCAAATCGAAAGGTTGAGTGGGGGGGGGGGGGGTTGCAAATCAAACGTTTGTCCCCGGGCGCCGGGAAGGGTCGCTACGCCTCTGTTCCTTGTGCACAAACTTCTGAAAACCCATCCGCCCTTCTTTGAACGTGTCCCTAAGGAAGTCATTTTCTTGCAATTCAATTACCTCTAGCTGCAGTTCATCTTTGCAACTGGCCACATTTGCTTAAAATTGGCTTTGAAACAGTCTAACTTCTTCTGCCTTTGAATCCAAGTCAGAAAAACCGCTTCTGATACTGCAGCTGGAGCTCTTTAATGATCTCGTATGTAAATGATGTGGGGAACTCAGTGGTAAAGACCTTGCACTGCTGAAAGTGTGTCAAGTTGTTAGCCTGTACTTGCTCCAAAAACATGACACGTTTGTATCTAAAGGCCTTTAGGTGGGTGTATAGATCAGAAACTAGATTTCCCTCTCTTGCTTTTTTAGGTTCAGAAAATTTAAATGACTAGTTATGTCTGCAGCAGAGGCCAATTTCTATATCCACTCTTCATCAGACAACAATGGCTGTGACTTGCCTTTACTTTCAGGAAGTCACCTATTTCTTTTCTTAACTTAAATACTCTGCTCAGAACTTTTTCGCAAAATAAGCAATCTTACTGATGTGAAATATGGTAAATCTTGCGATTTTTTTTCTCTCTGAACTATCTATGGTTAGATATCCTCTTCGGTAACAGTGTCATACATTCTATGTAAGCAAGCCAGCTCTTGTGTTATGTTCATGTCTTCACACCACTAATGAACATAAGAAGAGGTGGAACAACTGTCCAGCGACTCATCCATTGCAATTGAAAAATGGCGAAGCTTGCTTGCATTTTTCACTATTAGAGTCACTATGTTTTCACCAATGTCTGCAACACGGCGAGTAATTGTATTTGCACACAAAGCTACATTTTCAAATAGTTTTGAATTTTCTGTGCAAAGCTCCTCAGCCATCTCCAACCAACATTTATTCAGTGGACAATAAGATCGTCGCGGGCCGGATAAAATGACCTCGCGGGCCGGATGCGGCCCGCGGGCCGTAGTTTGGAGACCCCTGCTGTAGTGCAATGTACTGTGTGTGAGGCGGTTAGGTCGGTAACATAGTTATTGCAAAGGGAGGGTACTTTAGAGAACATACAGTTTCAGATTTTTTAGTAGCTTCCCATCGACTTGTTGATAAGGGTGTAATAAACAAATATGTTTACTTTAGTTTAGTAGGCCTACGACTTCAGTTTTCATTTAGATCTCTGAGCTAGTCTAGATTTTTAGATATATTAAAGTAGTAAACTATTCAAACCAATAATTTTAGCATTTCAGATTTAACTACTTTAGTTAAAATTAGTTTTTATCAGAACTTAATTTAGTATGTGAGTCAGTGCGTCACAATCACAATCACAACGGTGGAGTCTGGACTGTCGGCAGCACTGAGCAGTGTTCAGTGTGTCATTCTATATGTGCAACTTTTATCGACGTGGTGCAAGAGGCATGGAGTTACTAAATCTTGTTACTTAGTAGTCATACTTTAAATAATCCTGTAGTATATTAGGCTAAATGGGATATCTCTCACAACTAGCCACAATTAACTTAGATCTTGTAGTTATTACTGCTGTTAAAAATTATTTGATATTTTGTAGATTGTGTTAAATATTAAATAACGTTATGAATTTTTTTTGTCAGTATATTATACAGCTTACAGTAAGAAATGGCAAGGGAAGTATTTGATAAAGAAGTGGTCACATACTACCTCAGAGACATGGATCAGCGGCTAGTAGATGAATGGAGCTCAATGTTCGCGGACTACGAAGAAACTGTTAAGGTACATGAGTTAAAACAGAAAATCTGATCAAAGAAAAATAAAATGTCAAAAATGTTTTTTAAAAATACATATTTCTTGTTTTTTTTTAAATTTGGAAACTGTCTTTTTATATTTGATTTAAAAGCCAGTTTCCAAATAAAAAAAAAACTCGCAGTAGGGAAATGTAATGATTTAAATAGCATTTAATAATAGGAGTTTTGGAAAACATTTTTAAAAAAAAGATCCTTTTAGGATCTTATGATCTATAGGGCAGATGATATCTGTTTTTAGACCAATGCATATGAGAGGATGGTTTAGTTAGTTCTATTCACAGTTTACCTTCCCAATTGTGAGTATGGTTTCCATCAGAGCTGAGATTTATACAAATGAAATTTAAAAAAAAGTGATTGCTATACTGATCTGAACAGTTTTGTAGGGCTAAGCATCTAATATGTTAATCAGTCATGCAGAGTTTCTTCCAGGCATCTCTCTCTTCGGGGGAGGCTCTGCCCCCCCGAAGAAAGTCTACCGCCCCCCGAACGAAATGAAATTTATATAGAAAATATATACTTTTAACAGTGTCCACCCCCCTCCCCCCCCCGAAGGAAGTCTACGGCCCCCCCTCCCCCAAATTTCAAGTGCACCCTAGAGAAAAAAGTCTGGAAGAAACACTGCAATCGTGGTATTAATCTATTGTGATGGGTAATTAACAAGTACAAGTTTTAATCTGATTTTGATGTTTTTTGAATTAAAATTTTGTAAACGTTTTATTATCTTTAGGCATCTAAAGGGGATATTTTTGAAGGAGCTCCAGCAGTAGATGCTATTGTAAGTTTTAGGATATCACTTCTTTTAAATTTAAAAATCTATAGACACACTATCAAGCAGTAGACTAACTAATTATTTTAAAATCATTCACTTAAACAGCCAATTTAAATTTAATGCAGTAAAATATTTTAAAAGAATTTTGTATGACCCTTAAATTACAATAATTTGACAGGTATCGCCAGCTAATAGCTTTGGTTTTATGGATGGAGGGATTGATTACGTTTATACAAAACATTTTGGAGGTCAGATGTAAGTATTTCAAACTTTGATTTTACTTTGCAGTAGCAAATAAAATTCCTAAACATTTCTCTAATCTTGCTGAAATTTTATTTTCAGTGGACAGTATTAGGCAGTTTTTAAATCGTATACATGAAGGATTTGCTAAATGTTTATTTAAAAACATTCTATGATACCTGATTTTTGCATTGTGTTTTTACATTTTCAAAAGGCCATTGCATTTAAATCATGGATATATTTTGCAATTATTAAAAATATATGCAATACTGTCTGGTATGACATGGTCTTATGGTAGAGTACACGACTACTCACTCTAGTTTGAATCCTGGGTTGGAATCTGTAGGACACCTCTGTCCATCTAGCTCTGCTTCTGACGCACATTTGGGAAATTAAAGGCAATTGGGCATAGTGTTGAACAAACTAAGCTCAACTCTATCTGCCCCATGTGTCTTGGATACATAAGAGGAAAAGATGATGATCTAAGGCTGTTGGTCAGAGGCCATTCATAACTTATTAAAATAATATTTACTGTTTATTCGTGAGAACACCTGAAGAGTAAAAATAATTTTTACTGTTCATTATTGTGAAGTCCTGAAGAGTAAACATCATTTGTTTAATTTGTTTCTTAAAATTTTATCAGTCTTCATTTTTGTTTAAACAAATAATTATTTTAGCATCAACAAATACATAATTCCTGTTAAAAATAGTCTTTACAGTATTTTTTTAGCTGCATTTTGTTTATGGCATTGCTACTAATTAAAAATTCTAATTTTTTTTTGTTTCCCTCAGGCAAGACAGTCTTCAAAAACTACTGCGTGAAAAATTTCAAGGAGAATTACCTGTGGTAAGAAAATTGTTTACATTTTTTCATGAACTTTGTTTTAATTTAAAAAAAACTGATTTCTTGATAAAAAAGAAAAATTAAATGATTTTAAAAAAAAACAATTTTGACTTCCAGGGCCAGGCTGTGATCATACCAGCCTATCGTGAAGGTGCCATGAGAGATCCAAGCGTAGACTGGTGCAGATATAATCACGGGGAGCCCATCAGATATTTGATCTCTGCTCCTACCATGAGGGTCCCTTCCAATGTGGCACAAACAGTCAATGCGTACCTGGCATTTAGAGCTGTTATCTTAGAAGGTAGGGCTTAAAATGTACCTACCGTTAAGTTTGACATGCTAGGTTAGACTAGCCCTCTCGTGGAAATACCAAAGAGCCAGGCCATGAAAAACCTGCAGATGTGACTTAAAGAATGACACAAGAATGAGGCTACAATTGAGGGATAGTTAAAAAAAACCAGCCCAGACCAGCTGTCCTGAGACTTGTTGATAGTCCTAATGCACGGGTTCCCAACCTGGGGGTCGCGACCCCCCTGGGGGTCGCGAAGGTCTTTCTGGGGGGTCGCCAACTGGTATACTAAACCTTAGTAATTTGAAACAAAACATAAATATTTAGAAGAATGTTTGAAATTCGGCTTCATTAACATCACTGGAAATGTAATAGAGAAGAAACAAAGCGCACTGTACAAGGTTGTTCTCAGTCACGAATCTATGAAATCTTCAAAACAAAAACGTCATTTGAGACGAGTCATTCGGAACACACCAAAAAATATATGGAGTTCTTTCGTCGATAAGAAGCTAGTTGCAAACGCCAGACACTTGATCGAACAGGAAGTTTTCACCAGCATTAGTGCAAGCATCAAATGAAGTCGCGATAGAAAATGCCAAGCAAAAAAAAAAAAAAAAACAATAGGAGAAAATTTCATCAAACGCTGCATGTACGTAAATGTTAAATAACACATTTTTATTGAAATTAAGCTTTCACCATTGTCTGCTTTTCAAGTTGATAAATCAACAGACGTGAGTTCGTGTTCGCAGTTGCTGGTCTGTGTCTATATTCATGCGGATGATAGCAAAGATAAAAGAGTTGCTCTTTTGTGAAGATAGCATGGAGAAAACAAATATCTTTTTTGAAACTGGATGATTAAAATGGGTTAGAACGGCTGTGGGGGTTTGTACGGATGGTGCGCCATCTATGTTTAGCTCAAAATCGGGCTTTCAGAAAGCAGAAAAGATTTAGCTCCCTAACCACTGCCCTAACCAATCGACATCAAGAGTCCATTGCTAGTATAAGTCGTAAATTATATAAAATCTGGAGCCTTCAAAGAACTGAGCAAAACCATTAATATAGATCACGAGGTTCTGCTCTTCTACACTACAGCACGCTGGCTGTCAAACGAAATGTTGTAAATTGTGTTTTTGAATTGAAATCTGAAATCAAATTGTTCTTGGGAGTGCAAAAGAAACAAGACTTTTTGATTTTTTGGTATACTTAAACAACATAGAGTGGTTGGAGAGAGTAACATACCTAGCAGATATGTTCGAACATCAAGATAAACTTAACCTGAAGCTTCAGGGAAAATGAACGAATATTATAACTTTCCATGATAATCTCGGGGCATTTTTATCAAAGCTGCAAAATCGGTAAAGAAAACAAATCTTGGAAATATTGTAAATTTGAGAAACTCTGCGGTGTGGTAGATGAATCTGATTGTGAGATAATTAAAATTTTGAAAGAAGCGATTTCTGGGCATCTTGAATCTCTTGAAAACGAACTGTATGGCTATTTCTCTGAGCTGAAAAAAGAAGAATCTGCATTTACGCATTACCCATTCTCTTCTTCCCTTGATGTTGCCAGCATTCCCGATGAATTACAAGATGAATTCTTTGATTTGTAGAATGATTCCGTGTAAGATGAAAAACTGCAGACACAATTTTGGTGTAGTATTCACCATTCATACCCAAACGTAAAATTGATTGACTTTTCGAGAATATATTTTCAACACTATTCTTCGATTAAAAACAAAATTAAGATAATTATAATGACATAGGTTGGCGTTAACAATTTTTTTTAAAAATTAAAAACTTAACCACGAAGGTTTAGTGAATAGTATGCAATTTTAATCATGCTATTAAAACAGTTATCAAGAGTAGTTCATATTGAAAGTCTACTAGAAAATCTTATTTTAGTGCTTATTAATTTCCATACTAATTTCGGCTTTTTAATTCTATGGGGGTCGCGGGTCACTTACTTTTTATAAAAGGGGGTCGCCACTCGAAAAAGGTTGGGAACCACTGTCCTAATGGGACAGCTGGCTAGCAACAGTGTTGGGTTTCTACATTTTGTCTGTTTCCTACAGAGCTTTTCAATGAGTGATTTTCTTTCTTAGTATATTGATGTTTACATTCTGCTTGCAGTCACATGGTCATATTTATAAATCAAAGTGAGCCTAGAGTCAGCAATAAAAATTATAACAAATTGTATTTATTTGAAGTAAAAAAGATATAACAAACTCAAGGAACATAATATTCATTCGAATTTTTAAAAAGTTAAGAACACTCTTAAGCTACATATTACTTTGTTGAATTTAAATAAAAAAAAAAGCAATAAATAATTTGAAAATATCCATCCAATTCTCACTTATTAACAATCATAATTTAATAATATTGCAGTGGAAAAACATAACCAAGAAAATGATAAAGATCTGATTACAAGAGTCCTTGTTCCTGGATTGGGCACAATGGTTGGCAAAATGCCAAAGAAAAGATGTGCTTATCAGGTAAGCATTGACAACAACCCTTAAAATTGGTCTAAAGCTGTTTAAACTACTAATTTTAGGGTTGTACGTTTATCAATTATTTTGAATCTTTTGTCTTGTCTTTACTCTAAAAAGTTTATTTTTACTGCTAGCTAGCATTGTTAGGGTGTCTAAAGCTGGTTCAAGTTTAGACTCAGTAGAACAGCAATCAACATAACAAATGTTTTTTAGGCTTAAGCCACACCTCTTCTCTGGACAGTATTTGAATGGTATTCAGTTATGTTAGTGAAAGTTGCCAAGTTGGAGTTTAGCATTCAGGATTTTATTTATTGTCATACTAGTTCATTACAGAGAACACATGATTGTATGCATTCAACTGAATAACTGAACTTTTTATCCTCAGATGCTAGAAGCTTACAGAACGTTTGCAAAGGGAGAGGACAGGTTCAGAATCAAACCCAAAAGTTTAGGAGACATGTGGAAAGACCATCAGAAAATGTGTGAGGTAAATCTGTGAGATATGTGGAGAGACTACAAGAAAATGTGTGAGGTAAATCTGTGAGAAATGTGGAAAGACCAGAAAATGTGAGAGGTAAATCTGGTAAAGTGAGATATGTGGAGAGACCATCAGAAAATGTGTGAGGTAAATCTGTGAGATATGTGGACAGACCATCAGAAAATGTGAGGTAAACCTGTGAGATATGTAGAGAGACCACTAGAAAATGTGTGAGGTAAATCTGGTAAAGAAAATATGAGAGATAAGACTATCTTGCACTATAGATTGTACAGTGCCTGTCTTTGACAGCAATGAGCTATGGCAAGTACCATCACTGGCTCTCCTACATTTTAAAACCATTATTGTTGACATGGACCGAAATCATGTATTTTTTCATTTGGTCATCTGAGGGAGGGATATAATTAAAAATTATTAAAAAACAAAACAAAACAACAGCTATTCGAATAGTGACTGTTTAAGAATTAAATAAAATGCTGAGGACTTAAATATTTTTTGGCTACACTTGTATTTTCATATAGCCAATGTTTCTTGTTGTATCAATTTTTTTTATTAGGATTACCATTATTTGTGTGTTATCAATAGTTTCTTTACACTGACCAGTCTCACTAGTTTCTCCCATAACACAAACCTACATCTGACTAGTTACAGTAGACCCATGCCTCACTCTTATGTTTCCTCCTACAGTTTGGTGGCACGAGCACAGATGAAACTGACAGTGACAATTGAGGTGACGTGTCTGAAGCTGGGAGTAGAAAAATGATCAGCACATGGGTAGTCCATAAATAACATCACTAATCTTATATTGGAGAGGTTGTTTGTGTTTGGGGGAGGGGGGTGTAGAGAAATAGGAGGTAGAATTTTTTTTGTATTCCCAAAGGAATTAAACCCAATTCATGTTAATTTTTTTTTAGTTGTGGTTATTTGAGTAAGGATGGGTTTTGATGCTTTTTATCATTTGACTTTGGAGGGGGGGGGGGGGTTGGCTGAAACCAGATATTTACTTCTGATGAAGGATGGGGAAGTGGTTAAAAATATGATTTAGTTAAGTGGTGTCACCTGTGGACTACTCTAAAAGAACATAAAATCTTAACTAACAATGTTCAGAAGGAGAAAATATTTTTTTAATTGAATTGATCCAGTGACTAGGCAGCTAGCTTTGTTTCAACCAATTTCAAACCAATGCCATGAATGTTTGTCCCTTACTCTGAATGATGTGTAACAGTTTTTTGACATTAGATTGTGTGTAAATTTTTGTGTGTAGTCAATGGGGTGATTGGCCAGCATAGTTTTGTGGCAGAGAGAGAGACATGGGTTTACTCTTGTAAATAAAGCCATGAAAAATAATTTTTTCTTCTCAATTTATATTTGTCAAACAACATATTTGTCAAGTCCTAATGTGTATGCCTGTCAGTGTCAGGCATGTCTGTCACGGGTTAAGTTCGAGTAGAACATGAAGCAGCCAATTAAAAAAATATACCGCACAGAAAAGGAATCCTTTACATTATTTTTTGCTGGATGCCAAGTATTTTTCTCTTAATGACAGTTGTCATTTATTTTTGTCTCCTTACATCTTCTGTTAGGTATCAGCATTTTAAAAATGAGTTTCTTCTTGTTTTGTTTTGTAATAAAACTTGACTGCTGGGACGCAACTATATAATATCTGTTTCCCCGATTTCATTCTCTCTTCAGTCTTTCTTTATAACCACCCCGTCCTTTGTGTTGTCTTTCACTTTTTCTTTCACCGGCCCCTTTTGTTAGCCTTATTGTTGCTTTTAGTTTTAGTTTTTGGATGTCTTTAATCCTGGTAAAATGCTTCAAGAAAGTTAAACCACTACATTTCTTTATACACTTCGTTGTGGCTATCGGCCTCAGTAGAATTAAAAAAATAATTTTTCACCGGTTTAAAAAAAAAGAAACTGTAAAAGCGAGCAGGCCTAGAAAAAAAAATCGAGGACTTTTGAAAGGCAAACAAGGGCTGCGTGGTTGACATGGCTCCAGATGAAGGGAGAAACTGGAAACAGTAATTGGAAGTGTAGCTGTCGCCCTCTGCTTCTTTAGGGATCTAAAGGAATAAGTCAAGTCTATGCAAGAAGCTTGTATCTCTAAAAGATCAAGTTGGTTGATGTGGTCTTTCTCTTATGTCGATACATTACAAGGACAGGGATCCTTTTGTCGTCAGGCATATTTACGGAGGCTGTCTTTATTGGGAACAGTTGCCAGATTGTAGCATATGCTCTCGCTGTGGCCAGTTTATTACTTTCTGTTCAAAATTGTTTGTGTGTGTATGTGTGTGTGTGGAGGGGGAGGGGGATGGAGGTGATGACAGCAGTGGAAACTAACTAAACATCTTGATTTTGACGTGATGAGGTCTGACTTTTTGTGACGGTTGGCACCGAAAAAAATCTGGTTTAGGGGTCATCCATAAATGACGTCACGTTTTTTTTGACGTTTTTTAACCTCCCCCCTCCCCTTCGTCACACGTCGTCACAAAAAGCCAGACCCCCCTAAAATGACGTCACACCTCAACCTACAACCCCCCCCCCCCCCTCAAAATTGCAGTTGAATTTTTTAAAAACATCGATATTTTTCCAAAATCTTGTCTAAACTATTACAATTTATTAAAACAGTTATCTAAAACGCGAAATAACGTCTAAAATTCGTTTTCTAACATTGCTTTTTTATAATGCAAAAATGTGACGTCGCAACATCTGAACCCCTCCCCCCTCCCCCTCATCACACGTCGTCACAAAATTACGGACCCCCCCCCTCCCCCTACGAGTGTGACGTCATTTATGGATGACCCCTTACCCCCTCCACTAAAATGGGTTGATTTCAATTATGGAGGATCCTTAATAACGGATAATACACTTGTACGACGTTTATAAATGTATATATACTATATATCATAAAATTTATAAAAGTCTCACGAGTGATTAAAATGCGAAACAAAACAGGTTTATATTGAAAACCATGCACAACAAAAACAAATGCCGTAGATTTTATCGGGATTTCGCCGTAAAGCATTTTCTGAAAAAATAAAATAGGAAATATCCGATATTATACCAGCTGATTACTCAGGCATATTGTCTTTCTTGTTCTTTTTGCTCCATTTGAACCAGGTAACATTTAATGTGTGTTTTACTCATCAATAGAAGCACAAGTAAACATAAACATGCTCTGTTGAGTTTAATATTAGGTATAGTACACTATTGTTTCTAGAATAGCCTATATAAGATACCACCCAATGGCTTGAAAGGTTAGTCTAAACCAATATCCTAAAAATACTAAAATGGATGACCTAATCATATCGGATAAGTAAAAGTAACAATGCCTGATTTAAAACTTGGAACAATGACTGAGCTTGAGGGTATCACAGTAACACATAATTTAATATCAAAGGTATTAAATATACGAGTGAGGTTCAATGGTATGAAATCGTATTTATTATTTTATTGAAGCCAAAGTCCACTTTCTTAAGGTCAATGGTGTTGGCTAATCGACCCACTACGTGTCGCAGCGTTGTGTAGTTCTCAAGTCTGCCGGCTCTAGGGGATAATAGCATTGTAGTCAAACTTCTTAAATAAAATTAGCAGCTACAAACTAATGATGTACAACCGGGACATTCAACCCAGTAGATCTATTGTGCTAGTCATGGGCCCTGCACCTCTGTAGTAGGCTATGTTTATTGATCTGGTGATTCCAATTGTGAACTAATTTTCTGGTTGGTTACGGCTTTACTGAAGGTGAAAATAATATAACAACGTGCATCAAAGATCTTCTGCTGAAACTCTTCACAATCTCCTCAAAAACATTTCAGAAGTTGTACACTTTCACTTTGTGTGTTTGTGTGTATGTGTAAAAATAATTGGATGAATCCGACTCACTGAAATCTAACGCAATCAAAATTATATATATATATATATATATATATATATATATATATATATATATATATATATATATATATATATATATATATATATATATATATATTCATTGTAACAAGTGTTTGCTTTAAATTTACGTCTATTGTATTTCCTTTTATGCAAAATAATTCACTTGAAAAGGGGGAGGGGCAATAAACATCCACCACACCTCTATATAACCATCCAAGTAGCACACCACCATTTGAATGACATACCAACATTTGAATAGCCCACCAACTTTTGAGAAGACGCCCAATAGCAGTAGCACAAAAACATGCAAGCAACACACCAACATTTGTGTACAGGGTTCACTGTTGTTGTTATCTAAGCTGAACACTGGTGGTATCATCATGTTATCTGTTAACGTCCTTTTGCTCCGTCAGAACCATGGATATCGTCGCCGATAGGGACGTGACCTATCACTTTCGTGACATAAACAAGGACCTCGTTAGTGCCGTGGAAGTGGCGTTTGAGGAATATGGGGACAAGTTCAAGGTCAGCACACACGGAAATCTAGGCTACTCTTTAAACTTTATTTAAACGAAAGGAGCTTAACATTGAAGTTTCGGAAAAATCCAAACATAATTCATCAAACTTTAAAGTTCAAATAAATTTTATCTTTGTCTAAAAATTATACTCAGTAATTTTTTGAATATATCTTATCATAACATTTAGCAAAATGAACACGTCCTCTAACATACATAGCTTACATATGTCAACACGCATATAGCACCTGTATTCTACAAAGCTCACGAACATATAAATATGTGTTGCATTCATATTTCCAGCCGTCTGTAGGCGATGTATTTCTTGACGCCCCAGCTGCTGACGCCATTGTGAGTATCAGAAGTGTACAACCTTCGCAACTGAGTTCTTATTAGTATTTGATGACAGTGTCCTTTAGCCTTAAAGTGTTGTGTCTTGGCAGAACCATTGCACCTTCTACAATTCCACCTGATGTTCAGCTAGGGGCGTAGACGGGGAAGGTGGGGGGGGGGGGGTCCCAGACCCTGTAAAAAACAAGTGACACACATCAAATTACATTTGTCCTGATATCTTTTGTCCTGAGATTATTTGTCCATGATATCATTTGTCCTGAGATTATTTTCCTGAGATCATTTGTCCGTGAGATACTTTGTCTGGGATATTTTGTCTCCGATCATTTTTTATATATAATATGTATGTTACACTTTATGATACGGGGCTGTTCTAAAAACTACATTGTAAATCGTAGCCGTAGAAAGCTTGTCCTTAGCTTTTTACCATTGCAATAGGTGAATCAAAATTTCATAAACGCATCCCTCAAAAACATTACGCCAGGTATGTACAGCCAACAGCTTTGGCATCATGGGAAGTGGTGGCATTGATAAGGCCTTCATCGCCCATTTTGGACAGTCAATGTGAGTATTTATTATGTGAGAATTTATTATGATGTTTTGTAAGACGAAATTTGTAGTCGACTGTGGATTTTATAATTTTATTTAATGATTTAGCTAAGATAAACATCACATTTTTTTGAACGACTTTTAATCGTAACAAAAGCCCCGAAAAAAAACCGATGTCATACTACAAGCTTTCACCCCCCAACCCACCAAATAGTAGCATTTAAAATTAATATAAAAACCTTTTAAAAATGCGAAGTAACTGCTAAAATTATGATTCAACATTACTTTCTAAAAAGCAAAAGTGTGACACAGATAATCACAGAGGTTTGAACCCCCTTCATCTAGAACTGTCATGTGATTTATGTAAGACCCCACCCCCCCCCCCCAGTACGGCTAAAAAGTAACTGTTGCCCATTTGTTTACCCTGCAGACAGGACGAGGTGTTTGAAATCATACGGGACGAACACGACGGGGAACTGCTTGTTGTAAATAGATTTTATCAATCCTGCTCTGTTTACTTATATTGCACATTACACTACAAATTCCTCTACAAAAATTCCACTACAAATTCCACTAGGATTACACTACAAATTACATTACAATATATACTACAATTACACTGCAAATCACACTACAATTACTCTACACCGTTCCCAGTATGTATTTGAACCATAAACCCACCATTCCCTGTATGTATTTGAAACATAAACCCACCATTCCCTGTATGTATTTGTACCATAAACCCACCATTCCCTGTATGTATTTGTACCATAAACCCACCATTCCCTGTAAGTATTTGAACCATAAACACACCATTCCCTGTAAGTATTTGAACCATAAACCCACCATTCCCTGTATGTATTTGAACCATAAACCCACCATTCCCTGTATGTATTTGTACCATAAACCCACCATTCCCTGTAAGTATTTGAACCATAAACCCACCATTCCCTGTATGTATTTGTACCATAAACCCACCATTCCCTGTATGTATTTGTACCATAAACCCACCATTCCCTGTATGTATTTGTACCATAAACCCACCATTCCCTGTAAGTATTTGAACCATAAACACACCATTCCCTGTAAGTATTTGAACCATAAACCCACCATTCCCTGTATGTATTTGAACCATAAACCCACCATTCCCTGTATGTATTTGAACCATAAACCCACCATACCCTGTATGTATTTGAAACATAAACCCACCATTCCCTGTATGTATTTGAACCATAAACCCACCATACCCTGTATGTATTTGAAACATAAACCCACCATTCCCTGTATGTATTTGTACCATAAACCCACCATTCCCTGTATGTATTTGTACCATAAACCCACCATTCCCTGTATGTATTTGTACCATAAACCCACCATTCCCTGTATGTATTTGAACCCTAAACCCACCATTCCCTGTATGTATTTGAACCCTAAACCCACCATTCCCTGTATGTATTTGTACCATAAACCCACCATTCCCTGTATGTATTTAAACCATAAACCCACCATTGCCTGTATGTATTTAAACCATAAACCCACAATTCCTTGTATGTATTTGAAACATAAACCCACCATTCCCAGGGCCAAGCAGCCATCGTGTCTGGCATAAAGTGCATCAAGCCAGACATACACAAGTACAACCAGGGCGACCCCATCCATCACGTGATCATGGTGCCCACCATGAGGGTCCCACAAGGCGTCTCCCAGACACCTAACGCTTATCTGGCACTGCGAGCTGTCATTCTAGCGAGTAGGTAGCCTAACCTGCTTATAAGTGTGTACGCATCTATAATAATGTACTGATGGCTGTCATTTTAGCGAGTAGGTAGCCTATCCTGCTTATAAGTGTGTACGCATCTATAATAATGTACTGAGGGCTGTCATTCTAGCGAGTAGGTAGTCTATCGTGCTTTTAAGTGTGTACGCATCTATTATAATGTACTGAGGGCTGTTATTCTAGCGAGTAGGTAGCCTATCGTGCTTAATTGTGTACAGATCTATAATAATGTACTGATGGCTGTCATTCTAGCGAGTAGGTAGTCTATCGTGCTTTTATGTGTGTACGTATCTATAATAATGTACTGAGGGCTGTCATTCTAGCGAGTAGGTAGTCTATCGTGCTTTTATGTGTGTACGTATCTATAATAATGTACTGAGGGCTGTCATTCTAGCGAGTAGGTAGTCTATCGTGCTTTTATGTGTGTACGTATCTATAATAATGTACTGAGGGCTGTCATTCTAGCGAGTAGGTAGCCTATCCTGCTTATAAGTGTGTACGTATCTATAATAATGTACTGAGGGCTGTCATTCTAGCGAGTAGGTAGCCTATAGTGCTTTCATGTGTGTACGTATCTATAATAATGTACTGAGGGCTGTTATTCTAGCGAGTAGGTAGCCTATAGTGCTTTCATGTGTGTACGTATCTATAATAATGTACTGAGGGCTGTCATTCTAGCGAGTAGGTAGCCTATCGTGCTTTTAAGTGTGTACACGTCAATAACAATAGAGGGCAAGCATGTTGACATGATATGTTGTCTTGTTGACATGAGATGTTGTCTTTTTGACATGTGATGTTGTCTGTTTAACATGAGATGTTGTCTTGTTGACATGAGATGTTGTCTTGTTGACATGAGATGTTGCCTTGTTGACATGAGATGTTGTCTTGTTGACATGGGATGTTGTCTTGTTGACATGGAATGTTGTCTTGCAGTAAGAAACCACAATAGAAAAAACACCGGCCATCAGATCAAGGAGGTCATTTTACCTGGACTGGCCTCACGTGGTGGTCAAATGCCCAACACCAGATGTGCATATCAAGTAGGTTGTGGTGTTTGTTGTGTTAGTGTTGTTGTAATTTTATGGTACTAACGGTAGGTTTATACAGCAATTTATTTGTTTAATTTATTTGATTTAAAATTGAGCCGGTCAACATTTAGTATGCTGCTCAAAATTTTATCAAAATATACAGAAGTCTTTAAATATTCTAAATTCAGTTTAAAATTAAAAATCAAGTGCTAGTGTGACGTCATACTTTTGAACAAACCCCCGACTTCATGTCGTCACATATCGTTACTAATGTCCAACCCCTCCCCCTTAAGTATGACGTCATTAGTGGTCGACATTTTTGTCATTATCAGAAACAATTCAATGACTTAAAGATTAAATATCCACGATCGAACAGAGTAGGGATTTATAATTTACACCTTAAACTGCTTTTCTATAAAAAAATTTATTTGTCGTATTTTATAATTCAGTAGCTATTAAACAATGATGTTTCATAATTTAATTAAAGACAAAGCCAACTTTTTTTGTAACAGATGCTGCAAGCTTATGAAACCCATGTGCTTGGAAAATCTCATTTCCGGTTAAGCCCCAAAAACCTGACGGAAATTGTAACAGACCATAACAATCTTTGCCAGGTAATTTAGTCAGTGTTTTGACTTGAAGATTGGACGCGTTTTATTTTTTTATGTTGACCGCTGTCATCTCTTCACTAATAACCTATGTAATTTTAATAATTTTTTTCTTCTTCTTCGTTCTTAATAGTAAAATTTGACGGATTTCTCCCAACACGTTAACGTTACGTGTCAACCTGTGTTATGCGCCATATAGGCCGTTGACTCCAATTTCAGCCTGCTTTTCTTTTTAGATTTGCTTCATGATGCTTTTTTGAGTTTTCTCTCTTAGATCGGTAGTTGCCCCCAGCTTAATATGTCCGGGGGTTCGAACTCGAGACTTTACCGACCCAACCATGTTGGGTTTCTGAGTGTGGCTAGTTCTGGACACTATTACCTCTGGACAGTCATAAAACTCTAAGAAGTTCATGTTCTTTTGTCCACCGTAATAGTTCTTCTATGCAGAATTTAATCCATATAACGCAGTTTAACATATAACAGGTTTTTATGATTCTGATTTACGTGTAAAAAATTGTATGTATTAAATAAACAATACAAACTATAAAAGTTACTCTACAACATAAAACTTCAAATCTCTTCCACCCAAACAAACATATCATAACCTCGCTGGTAAACTCTGTTGAATTTTGCTTGAACGATCATTCTAGAAAAATGTGCCGTCATCACCTTCTAGAAATGTGTGCTCCAGTGTTTCTTCCAAACTTTTTCTCGGGGGGGGGGGGGGGGGGGGGTTGCACTTGATATTTTCGGGGGGGGGGGGCGGTCTACATTTTCCGGGGGGAGGGGGGCGGACACTAGTAAAAGTATATGTTTACATGTTTACTACATAAATTCCATCTCGAAGAGATGCCTGGAAGAAACTCTGGTGTGCTCGCCACTTATCTCTATACTTCGACTAAAAAGCCGGACATTCTATGGCACATTTAAAAAAAAATATCAGATAATTTAAACAAAAGTACAAGCGGTTGTCACAACATCACTGTTTGGATTCGGAAGAAAAATATTCTAACAGAAAATAATTGATACATTCATTTTTTACTTTTTTTTTACACCCTTTTCCAATTCATATTTTAGTGGCTTTCTTTTCGTATATATAATAATATACTATTTATTCCTGATTGCATTTGACCACTGACCAGAATACATTTGTCTTCAAACAGAAAACTTAAAACAGAGGCACCAGGATGGAGCAAATGAGCGGACACCATGTATACATATTTTACCCAGCAAAAAGCTTTCATTCATTATTATTGCTCTTTAAAAATATAAATATACGAAAAAAATATGTATGATATATATATATATATATATATATATATATATATATATATATATATATATATATATATATATATATATATATATATATATGATTCTACGTCGATCGTCTGTTGCAGGAATGTAAAACAAATCCTTGTCTTTATTATATTTAAGCAATGGTGTGTGGGTGTGCAGTGTTAGTATTAGTAGCCTGTGTTTAGAAAGAAATTCTTTGGCTTTAAGTTTGTTTATCTAAAATAATAATCATTAAAAAAGTTTTTAAAAACCCACGTTTTCTGATTGAACTAAAAAGTAGAAAATAAATGCTATAGGCCCTACATCACAATAATGCAAGCGATCACTCTACTATAAGCGATCAAAAACGTGGGGCGCCGAAGTAAAAGTTATATTACTATTGATTAGATAATACTATTGACTTTTATTAGGGAGCTTGTAGAGAGTCAACAGTATTAGAAACTGTAAGAAAATCACGGCGCCCCACGTTTTTGCTCGCTTATAGTAGAGTGATCGCTTGCATTATTGTGATGTAGGGCCTATAGCATTTATTTTCTACTTTTTAGTTCAATCAGAAAACGTGGGTTTTTAAAAACTTTTTTAATGATTATTATTTTCTACTTTTTAGTCTTTGTCTGTTTGTTTGCATTAAAATCTTGCTATCGATTTTATCTTTTCACTTTTTTTGGGTAAACGAAGACAACTCGTAAAAAGACAACTCGTAAAAAGACAACTCGTAAAAAACACGTTGTTTGAATACGTTACTGACTAGAACACATAGATTTGAACCCGTGTCGAGTGGGATAGCAATCGTGTGCCCAACCACTCGACCATATCGTCTCCCCCAAACTGGCCTACCTCCTGTAAGTTTAAACTCGGTTCAAGCTAAATTCTCTGCCCCTAAGCCTGTGGCGACATGTGATCGTTCGCTTCACTGCGCGCGAGGTACGCGTCGCTGGTTTTTTTTTGTAATGGCTAGCAGAGGAGAATTATATATATAGATTATATAGCGGTCTAAAATGCTCAATAAAATGTTTCCATTGATCAATTTAGTAATAATAACAATTGAATATTCAATGGTCATCCAAAAGAAAGCTTCCCTGAAAATTTCAGCGCGCTAGCTAACTGGGAAGTGCCAGAAATTTCGATCGCAAGATTGGATTGGAAAGACAAACAAGTAAATAAATAAACACACAGAGAAAGCAAGTTAAAGAAAACGTGGTAAAAAAGCATTTATATAAGAAAACTTTACTCTTTATAAATATGTCAAAAAGTGGACGAAATTATTTTAAAACAAATCAGAACTACTTGTAGTGTTTGGTGGTAATTTTATTCTGATTTTGAAATTGAAACAAGCAAGATGTAGCATCTTTTATAGGCTGTGACTACTGTTTGTGTTTTACTTTTACAGTAAAATTTAATTTAATTTATTTATTCAAAATTTAGGAAGCACTTTTATAAATGTGTGATGTACCCTATTGTATTATTATTTAACGGTTTTAATAATAGGGCTTGTAAGTAGGTCACCAACTTCACGTTATCGTACTTGCCAGCTAGTATTTTTGAAACCAAAAGTAATGTTTATTGCATCGGTAAAAACAAACAAATAGATAAGATACTTCCGCTACTAAGCTATTTAAAATTTTAAACAATGATAATGATAGACTACAAGATGTAGACTAGCAAAAACCTAAGTTAAATTGTGATTTTTAACGAACCCTTTGTTTGTTATTATTTATTCGAATAGTAAAAAGTTTTTCTAAATGTTTGAACAATAACACACGCTTACATGTAGTTAATTTGATTCTATTATTAGTAAAAAAAATATAATTGTAGTATTTTGGGTAAACCTACAATTTGTATTTGAAATTCTTGAAGCAATTCGTCATGTTTTATTATTATTATTAATGGAAATCACGTTTATAACAATTAATTTAGTTCGAAAATTTATGAGTCCCCACGAGATTTTGAATTTTAAGCGAGGGAGACCGAGACTTACAAGTCCTATTATTACATAAATATATACTCCCTTATTTTGTATTTATCTTGCAATAAACAAAAAATCATCTTACATCTAAAAGCTGATTGGTTGTTATAGATCACGTGTATAAACGGCTATCCAATCGAGGAGAGGCCTCGAGAAAGCCTTCTATGACATAGGCAACATTCTTTTGTTTCTGATCTCTCAGCTTTTACGATCCTTTTGTCACCACAACATTACCTTGTGGGTCGACTACATCTTTCTTTTTGTTTGTGTTTTACAATGCGAACACTTTAATGACCTATGAGGATGAGTTGTTAATTAAAGATGTTTTAAAATATAATAAAATATATTTGTAACCGTGATGTTAAAATTACATTTACACATTAAAACATGTTTTTCACAAACGAACGTAGAGTGGATACGTTACAAAGATGTACTTATTTTTGGTTTTGGTGGGCGATAGTGTTAATAGTCAGTAATAAAGTTAGTTTTTATTCAGTGGCACTGTGTACCCGGCATTGGTTGGAGAAGCCTTTTTGTTAGGCGCTGTAAAGATGGAGCTACTTTACTCCACCTACCAAGTTTGGTACACGTCTGCACATTGTAATCATAAATCTTTGATTTAGCGTCATCACAAGGTGCTTTTGGGTAGTAAAAAAGTAAGTCACTCCTATTGACCTGACGGGCTATAAAGCAGATGAAGTAGAGTTTACCATTTTCTATAAACTTGGTATATAAAAGGATAGCGTGGTCAGGTCTATGCCCAGCCGCTATTCCTCTCCCTGTCCCAGAGCTGAGTGGACTCTAACGCGAGACCTGGATCTGAACTCAAAACATCCGGGCTAGACTTCAGCTGTCTACCTCCCAGCCACACCGTCCCATACTTTTTAGTAGATCATCAAAACAGAACAAAACAAAAGAACCCCACAAACGTATAATTGGAAAAGTCATTTTATTTGCTTCCATCTGTCTTTCGCTTTTATTGACTTGTCCTGTATTCGCTATTGCTTTGGCTGTTCCCCTTATACTACAGACTAACAGTCAATTATTTTAAAGGATCGTAGTTTTAAAAGACATTGATCTAAAGAAATAAAAAAAAAATAGTATAGCTACCAAAAGCGCACTAAAGGTAATCTACCCAAACCCAAAGCCTTCACAAAATTTATTTTTAACACTATTTGCTTTAACAATGAAAACATCGAAAGGAATTGTTGTCTTTTCGCGTAGTCTCCCCTTCCCCTTTTGTTTTTAGCAATTTCTAGGGACATTACTAATTATAGGAAAGAGGTTATCTGATTTATAACAGGTTACGCCCCTTTGTAGATTATAATTGTCTTGTTTTAATCTTGTAGATCTAATTATGGCACCCTCCCTCAATATATGCGAGTGTCAGTTACACAATTTAAAAATTTGCGAGTCCCCGCCTAGTTACAATTGAGCATCCTCGGTGATCTTTACTACTTACCATACGTCATAATTAAAATTTAGACTTCCTAATAATTTGAAATGCTGGTTGGAGAAAAAGTTATCATTTGTAAGTTAACCACTGAAGCAGAAAAATTGTTCAATAACTCAAATTTAGTTGTCTTCGAATGTCTTTTAGTTAAAGTTCATACAAATAATATTTCTACACATAACATTTTCAAGTTTAAAGAGGAAATTTAATGAATAATGCACAGAAAAGAATCAGTCGTAAAAGATAAAATGTCTATAACACTGTAACGCGTTTATTGGCTAGGTATAGGCTAAACTTTTATGAGCGCCCCTCGCTTTTCCACGATCATGTTTCAGCATTTCATTTTAATTGCCTGTCCGGTCCGGACTCATAGCGGCAGCCAAGCGCTACCCGTTCAATTAATTTATAGGCGTCAGGTCGCTTGCCCTCAAACCTCAAACCAGGTAAAGATCACATGGGATCGTAACTATATATATATATATATATATATATATATATATATATATATATATATATATATATATATATATATATATATATATAATATAAGCGGGCTGTGTCTGTCCGTCCGTCATCGCTATAGATTTTGGAACTATAAAAGTTAACTATGCACCATGCAGTGCTTTTGATTGCACCGCAGTGTCTTATTATAAGTATTAGAGTAGGGTTTGTTTATATAACGACATAGAGCTATTTTATAATTTCCACTGTACAATTTTGCATAACGCAAAGAGAATATTAAATACATGCACATTGATAAAACATATTAAAAGGATCAATGTCAAATATCGTTTTCGTTAATATTCCTAGAGAAAGTGGATACATTTTAATAACATAATAGCTGTAGGTTAGAAAAATCTAATTAAACTGTTTAGTAATTTTGCCAAGGGAGGTATTTTAAAAATAAATTGAACTCACGCTAAAAATGTGAATGCAAAATCTGCAAGACGGAATAATTGTTGGAATAATATAATTAGCAAAATGTGAATGCAAATTATGCAGACGTGTAAGAGTACATTATTGTTGGAATATTATAATTAGCATTGATTGATAAAAGGCTATTTTTTATTTATTTTATTCACTGAATGTAATGTTTACTACTTATAATTTTTAATCAACTATTAAGCACTATTATAGACGCGTCATCACGTTCATTAGGTGCGCAATGGTTTTAGTTATGAAACTCTATTGTAAATTTTTAAAATTTAAAGTACTGGGAAAAAATGCGTGAATGGATAAAGTGAAATATTGTAGGTAAAACACGGATATTTTAAATACTGCCTATTATTTATACTGTTTACTAATTATTATTCTATCTTTCGGTTTGCGGACAAGCTAGGGGTTTTATAGGAGAGGCGTAGCGAGAGGGGGGGGGGGGGCGGCATATGTCCCCGGGTGCCAACCTTAGGGGGCGCCAAAGTGGGTTGGAAAAAATTTGCGAGGGGGGTGGGTGGTGGAAATCGAAAGTTTTAGGGCGGGGGGGGGGGGGGGCAGGGGTACAAATCGAAAGTTTGAGGGGGGTGCAAATCACCGGAAAGGGCGCGATTTGGCGCTACGGGCTAGACTGTGAGCAATATGCCTTTATGATTGCATTTAAATTGTGTTTATGTTATGAGTGTTGTGTTTGTTTTTTCGTTTGTGTTTTTTTTTTGCGTTCGTTTGTGTTGTGTTTAGTTTTGTCCTGTTCCCAAGTTGGTACATTTAAAAAAGATTTACCGTGGCGGAGCACGGGATGCAGCTAGTATATATATATACTCATGAATTTAAGCTTTGAATCTCTTGAATCAGAAACTCAAATATTTTGTAAGTTTCACATCTCCCAGTTACGCACCACGTTTTTCTATAGCCACAAATAAACACTTAAGTTTATTATGAACGTGTGACGCCCATTGATTGAAGGCTGATCAAACTGAAAACATGTTTGCTTCTATAAAAAAGTTGGTTGATTGTTTAAAATTTTTATTTTCGTCTGTCGTTTTTCATTAGTGTCCAAAGTTTGGGTAATCTTCCAGTATAGCGTCGGAAATTATCCGGTAATGTTGTTGAGTTTCGTAAACATTAGTTACAGTAAGCCATAGTTTATTTGATCGTTTAAATATGAATAAAGTCGAGTGGACTTAATTAATCGACATAATGAAATAAAAATATACAGAAAATTGGCAACAATTAGTAGATCAAGATCTAAATATAAATAATAAATTCAAGTGTAGTAATTAATTTTTAACAAACACAGAAATAAAAACTTGCAGAAGAAATACGACAATTATATCTATCTGCTATATAGCTAGATCTAGGCCTAGTAATAATTTGTTTACCAAAATAATAAAAAGGACTAGAATAATATTTAGTAGCAGCAATAGTTAGGAAAAACACTTAAAATAAAACAAATATAAAAAACATTTCTAACAGCATGCTTTGAGAAGCACTGAAAATAACAAAATAAATAAATTTGCTTGCTTCCATAAAAGCTTTGGTTACTCACGAGATCTTTTACATATTTTAGCAACCAAAGCGGTTATGAAAGAAAGCAAATTAGTTTTATTTTATTATGTTCAGTGCACTTAAAAGCAGTGTTTCTTCCAGACTTTTTTCTCCCGGGGGGGGGGGGCACTTAAAATTTTCGGGGGGGGGGGCGGTAGACTTTCTTCGGGGGGGGGGGGGGGGCGGACACTGTTAAAAGTATATATTTTCTATATAAATTATATAAATTTTATTTCGTTCGGGGGGGTGGGGGGGCGGTAAAAAATTTTCGGGGGGGGGGGGGGGGCGAAGCCCCCCCCCCCCCGAAGAGATGCTTGGAAGAAACTCTGCTTAAAAGCTTGCTATTAGAAAGGTTTTTTTATATTTGTATTATTTACTACTTTTTAGTAATTCATAATCTATCAATGCTGCAACAAAAAAATATTTACTCGTGAAAGATTATTATCCCCCACCTCCCCTCCCCGGCGAAATCAGCCATCCGTGACGATAGTTTACAGACGACAGCAATCAGATCAAATAGATCTTGTTACCTCCCCTTAGTTTCAAATCATTTAAAACTATATTATCTGCCCCTAATAGCCTTCACTAGATCGACCGCCTCTACAATTGTAAACATTCTCGTGAACCACATCTCACCAGACGGTGAGGGTGGTCGCGTCTAGGTAGTTATCTCCCCTTCTGTTATTGAATATAGTAATCTATCAATGATTTAATTTTGTTATATCCCTAATTAAATTATATCTAATTATATCTAATTAAATTAAAAAATAGATAGACTTGTATTGTCATCGAAGTGAATCTTATCTGGAAAGTTTGAACGAAATCGCTGCATTAGAAGTGGGTCAAAATGGAGTTACAAGATTTGCCACAAACCCACAAACAAACAAACAGACGTTGCGAACTAAATAAAAGCTTGTAATAAAAACGAACAATACAAAATGATTCGCAAAACAGCATTTAACATGCAAGAAAGCAATCTATCCAAATTTTAAAAAGTTCCGCATAAAAAACAAGATGGCGCCAAAGTATTGCTCTCGGTACTTCTGATGGATTTCAGAACGGCGTGACAGACTACTCCTTTGTCGAACTGTTTTTTTTTAAAACTGCTGTACCATTCCAGAATAATAACCGTCGCTGTAGTCCTACTGTGAGATTACCCAAAGTTGTGATTATCTGATACTGGCTTATCGTTCTGCACGGTTATTAGATCCAGATTCTATTCATGAATATTAGTTCTGGATCTAGATCTATATCTGTCTGTCCTGCTGTCTTTTGGTCTATCGAGCTATACATTACATCAGTTATGTACCCCTAGACACTTGTCATGCTGTGTGTTGGTCTATCGAGCTATACATTACATCAGTTATGTACCCCTAGACACTTGTCCTGCTGTCTATCGAGCTATACATTACATCAGTTATGTACCCCTAGACACGTGTCCTGCTGTCTATCGAGCTATACATTACATCAGTTATGTCCCCCTAGACACATGTCCTTTGGTCTATCGAGCTATACATTACATCAGTTATGTACCCCTAGACACTTGTCCTGCTGTCTATCGAGCTATACATTACATCAGTTATGTACCCCTAAACACATGTCCTTTGGTCTATCGAGCTATACATTACATCAGTTATGTACCCCTAGACACTTGTCCTGCTGTCTATCGAGCTATACATTACATCAGTTATGTCCCCCTAGACACATGTCCTTTGGTCTATCGAGCTATACATTACATCAGTTATGTACCCCTAGACACTTGTCCTGCTGTCTATCGAGCTATACATTACATCAGTTATGTACCCCTAGACACATGTCCTTTGGTCTACCGAGCTATACATTACATCAGTTATGTATCCCTAGACACTTGTCCTGCTGTCTATCGAGCTATACATTACATCAGTTATGTCCCCCTAGACACATGTCCTTTGGTCTATCGAGCTATACATTACATCAGTTATGTACCCCTAGACACTTGTCCTGCTGTCTATCGAGCTATACATTACATCAGTTATGTACCCCTAGACATTTGTCGTGCTGTCTTTTGGTCTATCGAGCTATACATTACATCAGTTATGTCCCCCTAGACACTTGTCGTGCTGTCTTTTGGTCTATCGAGCTATACATTACATCAGTTATGTACCCCTAGACACTTGTCCTGCTGTCTATCGAGCTATACATTACATCAGTTATGTACCCCTAGACACTTGTCCTGCTGTCTATCGAGCTATACATTACATCAGTTATGTACCCCTAGACACTTGTCGTGCTGTCTTTTGGTCTATCGAGCTATACATTACATCAGTTATGTCCCCCTAGACACTTGTCGTGCTGTCTTTTGGTCTATCGAGCTATACATTACATCAGTTATGTACCCCTAGACACTTGTCCTGCTGTCTATCGAGCTATACATTACATCAGTTATGTACCCCTAGACACTTGTCGTGCTGTCTTTTGGTCTATCGAGCTATACATTACATCAGTTATGTCCCCCTAGACACTTGTCGTGCTGTCTTTTGGTCTATCGAGCTATACATTACATCAGTTATGTCCCCCTAGACACTTGTCCTGCTGTCTATCGAGATATACATTACATCAGTTATGTACCCCTAGACACTTGTCCTGCTGTCTATCGAGCTATACATTACATCAGTTATGTACCCCTAGACACTTGTCGTGCTGTCTATCGAGCTATACATTACATCAGTTATGTACCCCTAGACACATGTCCTGCTGTCTATCGAGCTATACATTACATCAGTTATGTCCCCCTAGACACTTGTCGTGCTGTCTTTTGGTCTATCGAGCTATACATTACATCAGTTATGTACCCCTAGACACTTGTCCTGCTGTCTATCGAGCTATACATTACATCAGTTATGTACCCCTAGACACTTGTCGTGCTGTCTTTTGGTCTATCGAGCTATACATTACATCAGTTATGTACCCCTAGACACTTGTCCTGCTGTCTTTTGGTCTATCGAGCTATACATTACATCAGTTATGTCCCCCTAGACACATGTCCTTTGGTCTATCGAGCTATACATTACATCAGTTATGTACCCCTAGACACTTGTCCTGCTGTCTATCGAGCTATACATTACATCAGTTATGTACCCCTAGACACTTGTCGTGCTGTCTTTTGGTCTATCGAGCTATACATTACATCAGTTATGTACCCCTAGACACTTGTCCTGCTGTCTATCGAGCTATACATTACATCAGTTATGTACCCCTAGACACTTGTCCTGCTGTCTATCGAGCTATACATTACATCAGTTATGTACCCCTAGACACTTGTCGTGCTGTCTATCGAGCTATACATTACATCAGTTATGTACCCCTAGACACATGTCCTGCTGTCTATCGAGCTATACATTACATCAGTTATGTACCCCTAGATACTTGTCCTTTGGTCTATCGAGCTATATATTACATCAGTTATGTCCCCCTAAACACATGTCCTTTGGTCTATCGAGCTATACATTACATCAGTTATGTACCCCTAGACACATGTCCTGCTGTCTATCGAGCTATACATTACATCAGTTATGTACCCCTAGACACATGTCCTTTGGTCTATCGAGCTATACATTACATCAGTTATGTACCCCTAGACACATGTCCTGCTGTCTATCGAGCTATACATTACATCAGTTATGTACCCCTAGACACATGTCCTTTGGTCTATCGAGCTATACATTACATCAGTTATGTACCCCTAGACACTTGTCCTGCTGTCTATCGAGCTATACATTACATCAGTTATGTACCCTTAGACCAGGGGTCGGCAACCTTTTGAAGCCGAAGAGCCAAAAGTTACAATTTTCAAAATTTCCCTGATTTTAAAGAGCCACTAACATTTGTTTATTTCAAATATTTTATTTTTTTATTAAGATTATTAGTATTTGTACAAGGAGCTGGAGAGCCGCATCTTGATATTCAAAGAGCCGCATGCGGCTCGCGAGCCGCAGGTTGCCGACCCCTGCCCTAGACACTTGTCCTGCTGTCTATCGAGCTATACATTACATCAGTTATGTACCCCTAGACACTTGTCCTTCTGTCTATCGAGCTATACATTACATCAGTTATGTACCCATAGACAATTGTCGTGCTGTCTTTTGGTCTATCGAGCTATACATTACATCAGTTATGTACCCCTAGACACTTGTCGTGGGTCGACTGGACCCCCTCGGACATGGAGGCCGACTGTGGCGTGGTCTATCACCTGCGGGACTTGAACGCCGACCTCGTCAACGAGTGGGAGGTCATGTTTGAACCCTATGCTGCCACGGTCAAGGTCAGTCAACCACACACAGGCGCCATCTTGTATTATAAACATCATTTCTAAAGTTGGAGATACAGACTAGTCCCTTCTTCATTTATTTTTTATAAAATATGTTAACAAAGTATTATATTTTAATCTTCCAAAAGCTTGCAGTGTTATCTTTAGATGAACTCGTCAGCCTTAAACGCGCATTATTAATGTAGGACCTACCCCTCCAACACATAGGTCTACAAGTTTTCACTTTATACTCTAATTTTCACCCCCCCCCCCAAAATAATATCGTTACACTTTCAATTCTATTCCCTAAATCTGCAAACTAAGTCTGGTTAAACTAATTTCAGCCGTCGGTAGGTGACGTGTTTCTAGACGCCCCCGCAGCAGATGCCATTGTAAGTTTTTACAGCTGTTCTATCCACTAAAATTGAAATAGGACTGTTATTATTATTTTTTTTCTTTCTCTTTTTTTTCCGCCTCAGACATACAGCGTCAGTTTGTCTTGCATGTTCGCTTTCGTTTTACAGTTTTCATCATCGGCTTGTGAGGACTGATACAGATTTAAAATAATAATACTTCTTTCTTACATGTAGCCTACTTTCATTCATTTAAGATTGTTTAAATAAGTAACTTTAAAAAAAATCATAAAGTGGAATACTATATCTATGACGGTACATTAATTTGTATCAGTCCCCATAATCCGAAGATGAAAACTGTAATACTAAAGTGAACAGGTTAGGCAAATAACTCCAAACAATTTTTTTTTTAAAGTTATATGTGCTTCACAATTTTAATCTCTAAACACACTAAAAAAAAACAACAATCTGTTTTTAAGTTGTTTCTCTTTATTGACGGGTAATTGTCCAGGAAAATTTATGTTACGATATAGCTTGTTAGTTATTGTTATGTCCCTTGCATTACATAGTTCATAGTTACATCCCTTGATTGTGTAGTCGATGTGTATTTAATACTACATTCTTAATATTAATAAAGTGTTTAATTAAACACGATGGTGTCAGATGTTGTGTTTAAGTACAAGTTGGGTAATGTGAAAACTTTCCTTAATCCCCTGGTATTAGAGTGGTTTAGGGGTAGAGCGATGATATTGCTTTGTTTAAAAAACGGGCCATGTTACAATAGTAGCGTATGCCCAATCACCCAAATTTCATAGTAGATAATTGAAAACTCTTTATTCCCCAAATAATTAATTTTTCCCCACCCTCATCCTTAGGTGTGCCCAGCCAACAGCTTTGGTTTCATGGGAAATGGCAGCGTTGATGCAGCACTCCTCTCACATTTTGGGGAATCCTTGTAAGTGGTGTAATTTCATACACTCAAACAGTATAAAACTACATTAAAACAAACAGCTATAGCAGGCTACAGCATGTATTTTAATACTACATTTTCTCAAACACGAACCACTTTGTTAAACATCAAATAGAGTATATTGGCACATCCATTTTAGTGAAACACATCAAACCTTTTTGTCTAAATCTATTTCAATGTGTTATCAGAAGGTAGAGTGGAAACTACAGCATATGTCACGAAGCCACTAACACTTAAAGGCTAATTTAGCCTTAAGTTATTTAAAGATACGTAAAATATCTGTTACTGTTTTAAAAGGACGTGTCTAGGAATCAAAACTCCCGAGATCTTTTAATTTACTATCTCTACTTTAGGCAGGAGCAGGTGCTTGAAGAAATACAAGAGAAACACCACGGAGAATTGCTTGTTGTAATTATATTTTCGCTTTTTTACTTAGTAATTATACAAATTTATAACCTCGGTAGCCTTTGTTGTAATTATATTTTCGCTTCTTTACTTAATGATTATACACATTTATAACCTCGGTAGCCTTTGTTGTAATTATATTTTCGCTTTTTTACTTAGTAATTATACAAATTTATAACCTCGGTAGCCTTTGTTGTAATTATATTTTCGCTTCTTTACTTAATGATTATAATTGGGCCTGTCAACTAAACCACATACATAATGTGTCCTGTTAGACTACATACATAATGTGTGCCCTGTCTTCTAGACCACATAAATAATGTGTCCTGTCAACTAGACTGCATACATAACGTGTGTCCTATATACTAGACCACATACATAATGTCAAATACAGTGTCCTGTCTTCTAGACCACATAAATGTGTCCTGTCAATTAGACATACATATTGTGTCCTTTTAACTAAACTACATACGTAGTGTGTCCAGTCAATTAGACCACATACATAACGTGTGTCCTATATACTAGACCACATACATAACGTGTGTCCTATATACTAAACCACATACATAACGTGTGTCCTATATACTAGACCACATACATAACGTGTGTCCTATATACTAGACCACATACATAACGTGTGTCCTATATACTAGACAACATACATAACGTGTGTCCTATATACTAGACCACATACATAACGTGTGTCCTTTATACTAGACCACATACATAACGTGTGCCCTATATACTAGACCACATACATAACGTGTGTCCTATATACTAGACCACATACATAACGTGTGTCCTTTATACTAGACCACGTACATAACGTGTGTTCTATATACTAGACCACATACATAACGTGTGTCCTATATACTAGACCACATACATAACGTGTGTCCTATATACTAGACCACATACATAACGTGTGTCCTTTATACTAGACCACATACATAACGTGCGTCCTATATACTAGACCACATACATAACGTGTGTCCTATATACTAGACCACATACATAACGTGTGTCCTATATACTAGACCACATACATAACGTGTGTCCTATATACTAGACCACATACATAACGTGTGTCCTATATACTAGACCACATACATAACGTGTGTCCTATACACTAGACCACATACATAACGTGTGTCCTGTCAACTAGACCACATACATAACGTGTGTCCTGTCAACTAGACTGTATACATAACGTGTGTCCTGTCTTTACCAACCAACCTCCTCCAACCAGGGCCAGGCTATGATCGTGTCTGACATCCACTGTGTCCAACCCGACAGAGAGCGGTACAACCAGGGCGCGCCCATCCAGCACGTCATTATGGCGCCCACCATGCGGGTCCCCGTTGACGTTTCCTACACACCCAACGCCTACCTGGCCTTCCGTGCGGCTATATTGGCGAGTATGTGCACGTGCTTTTAGCGCTCACACATACAGCTACTCTACTTCTACATATACAGCTACTCTACTTCTACACATACAGCTACTCTACTGCTACAAGTTCTACACATACAGCTACTCTACTGCTACACATACAGCTACTCTACTGCTACGCACAGCTACTCTACTGCTACAAGTTCTACACATACAGCTACTCTACTTCTACACATACAGCTACTCTACTGCTACAAGTTCTACATACAGCTACTCTACTTTTACACATACAGCTACTCTACTGCTACAACTTCTACACATACAGCTACTCTACTGCTACTTCTACACACACAGATACTCTACTTCTACGCATACAGCTACTCTACTTCTACACATACAGCTACTCTACTTCTACACAAATAGCTACTCTACTTCTACACATACAGCTACTCTACTTCTACACATACAGCTACTCTACTTCTACATATACAGCTACTCTACTTCTACATATACAGCTACTCTACTTCTACATATACAGCTACTCTACTTCTACATACACAGCTACTCTACTTCTACACATACAGCTACTCTACTTCTACACATACAGCTACTCTACTTATACACATACAGCTACTCTACTTCTACATATACAGCTACTCTACTTCTACACATACAGCTACTCTACTGCTACAAGTTCTACACATACAGCTACTCTACTGCTACACATACAGCTACTCTACTGCTACGCACAGCTACTCTACTGCTACAAGTTCTACACATACAGCTACTCTACTTCTACACATACAGCTACTCTACTGCTACAAGTTCTACATACAGCTACTCTACTTTTACACATACAGCTACTCTACTGCTACAACTTCTACACATACAGCTACTCTACTGCTACTTCTACACACACAGATACTCTACTTCTACGCATACAGCTACTCTACTTCTACACATACAGCTACTCTACTTCTACACAAATAGCTACTCTACTTCTACACATACAGCTACTCTACTTCTACACATACAGCTACTCTACTTCTACATATACAGCTACTCTACTTCTACATATACAGCTACTCTACTTCTACATATACAGCTACTCTACTTCTACATACACAGCTACTCTACTTCTACACATACAGCTACTCTACTTCTACACATACAGCTACTCTACTTATACACATACAGCTACTCTACTTCTACATATACAGCTACTCTACTTCTACACATACAGCTACTCTACTTCTACACATACAGCTACTCTACTTATACACATACAGCTACTCTACTTCTACATATACAGCTACTCTACTTCTACACATATAGCTACTCTACTTCTACACATACAACTACTCTACTGCTACACATACAGCTACTCTACTTCTATACATACAGCTACTCTACTTCTACACATACAGCTACTCTACTTCTACACATACAGCTACTCTAATTCTACACATACAGCTACTCTACTTCTACACATACAGCTACTCTACTTCTACATATACAGCTACTCTACTTCTACATATACAGCTTCTCTACTTCTACGCATACAGCTTCTCTACTTCTACACATACAGCTACTCTACTTCTACACATACAGATACTCTACTTCTACATATACAGCTACTCTACTTCTACACACACAGCTACTCTACTTCTACTTCTACATATACAGCTACTCTACTTCTAGACATACAGCTACTCTACTTCTACACATACAGCTACTCTACTTCTACATATACAGCTACTCTACTTCTACATATACAGCTACTCTACTTCTACATATACAGCTACTCTACTTCTACATATACAGCGACTCTACGTCTACACATACAGCTACTCTACTTCTACATATACAGCGACTCTACTTCTACACATACTGCTACTCTACTTCTACACATACAGCTACTCTACTTCTACACATACAGCTACTCTACTTCTACACATACAGCTACTCTACTTCTACACATACAGCTACTCTACTTCTACATATGAAGGGCTCAGTGGAAAAAGTACTTAAGTGTATTTTGAGAGTTTTGAGAAAAATGAGTGCAAAGTTTTTAAATTGAAGCTGAAATACCAAAACAGCTGATGCTACAAGTTCTACACATACAGCTACTCTACTTCTACACCCACAGATACTCTACTTCTACACATATAGCTACTCTACTTCTACACATACAACTACTCTACTGCTATACATACAGCTACTCTACTTCTACACATACAGCTACTCTACTTCTACACATACAGCTACTCTACTTCTACACATACAGCTACTCTAATTCTACACATACAGCTACTTCTACACATACAGCTACTCTACTTCTACATATACAGCTACTCTACTTCTACATATACAGCTTCTCTACTTCTACGCATACAGCTACTCTACTTCTACATATACAGCTACTCTACTTCTACACATACAGCTACTCTACTTCTACTTCTACATATACAGCTACTCTACTTCTACACATACAGCTACCCTACTTCTACATATACAGCTACTCTACTTCTACATATACAGCTACTCTACTTCTACATATACAGCTACTCTACTTCTACATATACAGCTACTCTACTTCTACATATACAGCTACTCTACTTCTACATATACAGCGACTCTACGTCTACACATACAGCTACTCTACTTCTATATATACAGCGACTCTACTTCTACACATACTGCTACTCTACTTCTACACATACAGCTACTCTACTTCTACACATACAGCTACTCTACTTCTACACATACAGCTACTCTACTTCTACACATACAGCTACTCTACTGCTACAAGTTCTACACATACAGCTACTCTACTTCTGCACATTCAGACAAAAAATCTGAATTTAACAACTGGGTACTGTTTTTTCTTCAGTAAGAAACCACAACGAAAATAGCGCCGATCAAATAGAGTCTGTGATAGTTCCTGGGCTAGCCACATGGGGAGGTCTCATGCCAACAAGACGATGTGCTTACCAAGTAAGGCTCGCTATTATTGTAGTATTGGTTAGCAGAGTTTCGTTCAGGCATCTATTCGGGTTGCTCCACCCCGCTAAAGAAAGTCTACCCCTTCCCCCCACCCACCCAACAAAATATAATTTATATAAATATATATACTTTTAACAGTCTGCCCCCTCTCCCGAAAATGTAGACCCTACCCAACCCGCTTAGAAAACATAAATTTGAGAACATTGTTGGGAAACACTAAATACGTGAATGATTTAGTCACCATAATAATTAAAATAAGATTAATTATCTAAGGGGTCGTCCATAAATGACGTCACACTCGTAGGGGAAAGGAGGTCCGTAGTTTTGTGACGGTGTGTGATGAGGGGGAGGGGGGGGGGGTCAGATGGAGCGACGTCACACTTTTGCATTATAAAAAAAGCAATGCTAGAGAACGAATTTTAGACGTTATTTCGCGTTTTAGAAGACTGTTTTAATAAATTGTAATAGGAATTGATTAAAATACTCTATTTTGACAGAGTTCAGACAAGATTTTAGAAAAATATTAATGTTTAAAAAAAATTCAACTGCAATTTTGAGGGGGGTTATAGGCTGAGGGGGGGGGGGGGGGTCTGGCTTTTTGTGACGACGTGTGACGGAGGGGAGGGGGGGAGGTAAAAATCGTCCAAAAAGCGTGACGTCATTTATGGATGACCCCTAATACTAAGTGAAGATAATGATTTACAATGAAAATAATTGAAAATCTTGTAGATGATGACTTAAAAATTATTAATTGTGAAAGGTTAACGATTTCTCAGATTATAATTTACTGAACAGATGCTGCAAGCTTATGAGAGCTTTGTGTTGGGTAAATCCAAATTCCGTTCTAGTCCCCACAACAAATCTGAGATGATCGATGACCACTTTCACATGTGCCAGGTAATTTTCGTATCTTGAATACCAAATTTTTTACATCATTTATTTAGTTAGCTAGTTTAATAACTAAAACATTAAAAATATCGACTTTTACTTTCACTTTGACACTCCCGACTCGTGTTAATCCGTTTATCATCCCATCCTCATGTTTTCATCTTTTAGGTCTCCAGGCCCGGAATATTTCAGCCCTAGAGTACAAGAGGACGCATTGACGTGCTTCTAGTGAGGTTAGTATAAGCCAGTTCTAGTTACGGTAGGTGTCGTGTCGTGTCTAGACATTTAGTACAAGCCAGTTCTAGTTACGGTAGATGTCTAGACGGGTTAGTCAAAGCCAGTTCTAGTTACGCTAGACGCTTTAAATTAAAGTTTAATTGTTACAGCATAAATTAAGTGGTCACCGGAGCTACTTTTATCTTTTACAGTACAAAATTATTTATGTAACAATTAGATTTTATTTTACGGATTCTTAAAAACCACAACTCGTTGTTAGATTTTTTTTCGGGTTATGCATTTTTATAATTGTAATATTAGATATAATTGTATAATTAGTAAAATATTTTACCAGTGACAATAACAAATTCACCACTGCATGCCAAGCAAGACACCATTAGTCCATTGACCGTTACTAATGTATTTATTCACAGACCTGAAATACCTTAATGATGTAGGCTACCCGAAGCTAGGAAGAAAACAAATACCGACACGTTTTCCCCCCTATCAATTTTATTGGAGGAAGGAGCAATTTTTAAGGATATTTTAGTCTGATTACAAGAACACATGTAAAAATATGTTTAAATAAAAAAAGCAAATACACATTCATATCATTAACATTTATTATCCTATATTATACGAAGCTTAGGGTAACGAAGCAGCATACATGAAAAAAAAAACAACAACAGCTGCTCTGTATTTTAAGACCAGGTGGTCAGTCACTGATAATGCATCAGAGTCAGTAATTGAAAGGTTTGGATAAGTAATGCATCAGAGTCAGTAATTGAAAGGTTTGGATAAGTGATGCATCAGAGTCAGTAATTGAAAGGTTTGGATAAGTAATGCATCAAAGTCAGTAATTGAAAGGTTTGGATAAGTGATGCATCAGAGTCAGTAATTGAAAGGTTTGGATAAGTAATGCATCAGAGTCAGTAATTGAAAGGTTTGGATAAGTGATGCATCAGAGTCAGTAATTGAAAGGTTTGGATAAGTAATGCATCAGAGTCAGTAATTGAAAGGTTTGGATAAGTAATGCATCAAAGTCAGTAATTGAAAGGTTTGGATAAGTAATGCATCAGAGTCAGTAATTGAAAGGTTTAGATAAGTAATGCATCAAAGTCAGTAATTGAAAGGTTTGGATAAGTAATGCATCAGAGTCAGTAATTGAAAAATTTGGATAAGTAATGCATCAGAGTCAGTAATTGAAAGGTTTGGATAAGTAATGCATCAAAGTCAGTAATTGAAAGGTTTGGATAAGTGATGCATCAGAGTCAGTAATTGAAAGGTTTGGATAAGTAATGCATCAGAGTCAGTAATTGAAAGGTTTGGATAAGTAATGCATCAGAGTCAGTAATTGAAAGGTTTGGATAAGTGATGCATCAGAGTCAGTAATTGAAAGGTTTGGATAAGTAATGCATCAGAGTCAGTAATTGAAAGGTTTGGATAAGTAATGCATCAGAGTCAGTAACTGAAAGGTTTGGATAAGTAATGCATCAAAGTCAGTAATTGAAAGGTTTGGATAAGTAATGCATCAGAGTCAGTAATTGAAAGGTTTGGATAAGTGATGCATCAGAGTCAGTAATTGAAAGGTTTGGATAAGTAATGCATCAGAGTCAGTAATTGAAAGGTTTGGATAAGTAATGCATCAGAGTCAGTAACTGAAAGGTTTGGATAAGTAATGCATCAAAGTCAGTAATTGAAAGGTTTGGATAAGTAATGCATCAGAGTCAGTAATTGAAAGGTTTGGATAAGTAATGCATCAGAGTCAGTAATTGAAAGGTTTGGATAAGTAGTGCATGAGAGTCAGAAATTGAAAGGTTTGGATAAGTAATGCATTAGTCATTAGTCGATAAATCATCCATGAGTCAGTAGTCGATAAATCATCCAAAAGTCAGTAGTCGATAAATCATCCAAAAGTCAGTAGTCGATAAATCAATAACTGGAGTATCCAGAGGAATCAGAAACGTAAGCTGTGACCAGGGCTGTACGACCGGTGAACGGAAAAAAGTCACAGGAAAAAAAAACACAGAAAAAAAGTCAGTTTTTGCTAGGAAAAAAGTCACAGAAAAAAAGTCAAAATGGAAAAATTTTTTATGGAAAAAAAGTCACAGAAATAAAGTCACAGAAAAAAGTCACAAAAATCTTTATAGAAATATTTTGATTTAATCGTTAAGAAATGTAACATTTTGTATGTTTATTGTTTTCGGTTTTTTTTTTTGATAGCATACATTATTTATAGACGTTAAAAGCATTATGGTTTATAATAATTGTAAGTAAAAATACTCTAAGATAATTTACACACCAATCTCAACTTGAGCTACGTATTTAGTCAAATACGCGGTAGAAAAGATAATTATAAAAGAAATGTAGGCACATCATTGTGTTTTGCATATGTTTTGCAGTAGGCTATTCTCTGGTTGGCCTCTCCATAGTAGTCATTGTCCAAACACATTTTGTGTTGTTCACGTTTTGTGTCAATGACAGCCTTGAACCTTGTCGGCTTTCTGTTTTGATCCTAAGTTTTGTTATGTAATGAGCGTGATAAATGTGGGCAGTAAAGGTGGTTGAACTAAGCATAACTATTGTTGCGATGAGTTGAGGGCAGTAAGTCAGATGTTGGTATTAAAAAAAACACGATGAAAACCGTCGACTTTGGGGCATTCTATTAAATACTATTAATGTTATTTTAACGGTGGCCGGAAAGACCCGCAAAGGAAAAAAGCGCAACGGAAAAAAGCGCAAAAAAAAGCGCAACGGAAAAAAGCGCACACGGAAAAAAGCGCAAAGAGAAAAAAGCGCACACAGAAAAAAGCGCAAAGAGAAAAAAGCGCAAACAGAAAAAAGCGCAAAAAGAAAAAGCGCACACAGAAAAAAGCGCAAACAGAAAAAAGCGCACACAGAAAAAGCGCAAACAGAAAAAAGCGCAAACGGAAAAAAGCGCAAACAGAAAAAAGCGCACACAGAAAAAAGCGCAAACGGAAAAAAGCGCAAACAGAAAAAAGCGCAAACAGAGAAATGCGCAACCAGAAAAAACACAGCGAAAAATGTGCAAAACAGAAATTTAGCACAAAGACCATATGGACTAGATGACACATTTGGTTATACATGACTGTTAGGGCTGCTGTGAGAGTGTCGTGTTTGATCACGTGATCTACTACCATTTAAAGCGTACCACTACCATCTGCATTCCCATCACCACGTTAGTGATTTTATGTCAACAATCAGCGGGTCATTATAATTTCGTATGTGTTCTTATGTCAAAAAGGAAAGTGGGTCGGCCAAAGAGATCATGGAGTAGAATAGTAGAGAGAGGGGCAAAGACGTGGGCACAGATAAAGGGAGCAGCCCAAAACCGAGTCCGGTGGAGAGGTGTGATCGCAGCCCTTTGCTGCACACGGGCCACAAAGAAAAAAATGAATGAATGTTTGATGAATGTTCTTATGTCTCCCTGCTTCTGTCTTTCTCTCTCATACATACAGGGCCGGCGCCAGGTCATTTAGCGCCCTAGGCAAAACTTTTTACAACGCCTCCCCCCTCCCGCTAATCACATACTCATCGCAAAATGTTCGAAATTAAAAGAAATACATTAATAAATGCAATAGTTATCTCATTATTATTAACAGAGGCGTGGCTGGGGGGGGGGGGGGGGGGATGGAGCGACCGCTACATTTGTTGACTCAAAAGGGGGCGCTAACAATACATAGATAGATAGGTAGATACTAAAATAAAAATCTAATTACTAAATTATATACAGTTGAAATAAAGACTGCTACTTGGCATTATGAATATTTAATTGTTTTTTTTTACATCAATTGTGCGAAACCAAAGTAAAAAGGCTAAGTTAGAGGCGTCGCGAGGAGGGTGTGTGTGTGTGGGGGGGGGGGGGGGCGTGCGAACCGTACCGGGTGACACCAAGACAAAATATTTCAAAATATATAAATGAAAAATTGTTTTCGCCAGTGCAATTAATGCTTAATTGAAGTGAAATAGTCTTTTAAATAAAAATTGGCAAATCCCGACAATAGCGGGGAGTTGACACCATGACGCAAACCTGCTAACTATAGAGAAAACAATGCTACATCCAACTGTGTTAATGGCCTACTATAGATAAACATCGTTACAACTGTACACCTTATAAAGCTATCACCCAGAAGTGACATCAACCGCAAAATTTACAGGGGAAAAGTAATTTAGTTGAATATTGTCAGTTACTGTTAGTTAAAGGCACTCAACGACCATGGTGGTGCTGTCACCATATCTAATAATTTACTATGTAAACGTGCTTAATAGCTATATATTTGAGGAGATGGCGCAAAATTGATAATTCGTCCTGGGCATCGAAATATTACCTTGTCTATGTATAGTTTATATCATACAGTTATTAATTATTACTTTTTAATTATGGCGATTACACATTTTTGCGCCCCCTTATGGATAGCGCCCTAGACAACCGCCTAGTTCGCCTTATAGGTAGCGCCGGCCCTACATTTATATATATATATATATATATATATATATATATATATATATATATATATATATATATATATATATATATATATATATATAAATTTATATATATAAAAAAAACAAGTTATTACATGCACTAAAATACATAAAAAATATATATAACATACATTTGCAGGACTAAAACATATCTTGTGCAGAACTGATAAGTTTGGCGTTGAAACTAGTGATACTAGACTATATTAAGCCTTATATTATCGTTGATAATTAAATGGAAATAGCTTTTCTGAAGTAAAATTAAGAGCCAAGTTAAAGAAGACCCTCTTAAATAAATCTGATAGGAGGTTTTTAAATAGAATTGATGTAATTAAGAATAAAACAATCTTTTAAAATATAATTAATGTAATTAAAAGTTAAACTATCTTCTTAAAAAATTATTTTAAAAAATAGGTATATATTTATTACTATATCGTGTTTTAACGCTGTTGTATTTGAACAGTCATGCACCGCAATTGCTAGAGCTATCGTCCGCACTGACAAAATCCGATCGCAACTCAAATAAGTCTGTGGTGTGTCTTGAACGCCACCAAACACCTGAGACAGACTCACCGAACTCCTGGGGTTTGATCGCACCCAGGTTAGGAACCACTGAGCTAGACATTGCCATTGATGTTTTTCAACGTGCCGAATAGTTAGTTTTTTTTTTTTTAAATTGGGCCTCCAATGTCTTCAGACTAGTTGGTTCAGAGGTCCACTTTTGTTATGTTCGCATTGATGAATTTTTTTTTGACACATTCATCTTTTGAGTCGAAAGCTGCGATTTTAAGATTTTTAAGATTTTAAGAATAAATGCGATAACAATACTATGTAGATGTCGTGGAAATAGGTTTTAATTGAAAGAAAGATTTTCTGAGGTTAAAAAAATGTTATTTCCTTGATATATTTGCCTCATCCGTTTTTGATATATATATATATATATATATATATATATATATATATATATATATATATATATATATATATGTATATGTATATATACATGTATATATATATAAATATATAAATATATATACATACATTTATATTTAGTCATATAAATAGTCATGTTATATATATAAAAAGACTACTTAAAAAGTACGAGTGACCATAACATGTGCGTGTCTTCTCAAGACAAAAACTTGAGTTGTGAGACGGCTGGAACCAGACGTGATATCATTCTGTCAACATGACCATCATGGACGGTGTTTTTCTGCTTCTGGGGACCTCACTTCTCATTCATTATGGTAATATCTCTTTATTCATTGATGAGTTCTGTTTTTAAATTATCCTTACTGGTGGTACAAGAAAACACTGTCCTCGATCTTGACAGCACTTCCATGACAAAAGGTGTCAATATCTGAGACTAGAGATAAGATTTTGTTATGTTTGACTTCATCTTCTGGGGAGCCAAGGGCCACAACTTCCCATACGGATTCTCCTTAGATTCGCCCACGAAACCCACAGCCTCTTTGTTCGCTTTCAACAGTTCTCCAGGAAACGACAAAATTCTAAAACGAAAATCATCTAACTATATATATATATATATATATATATATATATATAATGTGTGTGTATTCTACATATATATGTGTGTAATTTAATTGTGTGTATATATTCCCCAGGTGTATCCATAACGTTGGACGACTGCCCTGCTAGCCTGGTGAGAGACAGGTACCTGCAGGTACACGGCGACCTGTGCTACGAGTTCATCGTGTACCGCCAGAGCACCCACCTAGCGGCCAAGTCAGACTGTGAGATCAACGGGGGGAGCCTGGTGTTCATCAAGTCAGCCGAGACCCAGCAGTGCCTCACCCACCAACTTGAGCACACCTACAAAGAGCATCAGTCTATCTGGATCGGCCTCGATGACACACCCTGCCCAGCATGAGAACAAGGACTGCGTTGCTATGGATACCAGAGACGGGGGGAAGTGGAAAGAGTTCCCGTGCGAGTCCACCGATATTCTGGTGATCGTGTCGACAAACGAAAGACACAGTTACGTCTGCCAGTACGACCAAAGTGCTCTGGTGTCGCGGGTCTTCCGTCACCCACCCCTGCCCGCGGGGACCACAATGTCCTCCATCACTCACCCCTGCCCGCCATTGTCCTGCATTGACCACTGCAGTGTCTACAAGAGGGACCCTGTGACCGGATGTTTTCTATGTGAATGTGAAGCATAGATAAATATCTGTAATGACAACCCTGGTTTAAAAGGTGCAAAGGTGCCCTGTATTTTTAAAGCTATGTGTGCTGGATAGTAAAAAATAATTTGAAACAACTTATTGTCTCGCATGTGTTACCAGAATAAGCCTTATACAACATATATATATATATATATATATATATATATATATATATATATATATATATATATATATATGTTGTATAAGGCTTATATAACAATGACCAATGGGTAAATAATTTAAAAAATTAAACAAATAGGCCTATAACGTATCTAGTTTTTTTAATCATCGTCATAAACCAAGTTACATTAATAATTTCTTTAAAAGTTACATAATTAGAATTAATCAAATTTGACAATTAACGTATATTAGATTGGTCATACTGTGCTAAAAGTCTAGAATGCTAAATATAAGAAAAATATTATTTTTAAGCAAACTGAAGAGTTTAAACATATTATATTGCGAAATAGATTCCTGAAAACTCTAGTATAAAATGCGAAGAAAATATCAAAATGTAGTAGCTAGAATTTTACTATAATAGCAACATTAAATAGTAGCATCTAAGTGTCGAGTTAGATATGGTCTAGGGGAGTTATCAAGATCATGTGAAGCGGACTATTTCTTGTTTCATGACTGTACATTTCTGTTTTAGGCCACTGTGTCAATGAGTTATGTACTGTTATACTATGGGCCACTATGTCAATGACATGTTTACTGTTATGCTTTGGGTCACTGTGTCAATGACGTGTTTACAGTTATGCTTTGGGTCACTGTGTCAATGACGTGTACAGTTATACTTTGGGCCATTGTGTCAATGACATGTTTACTGTTATGCTTTGGGTCACTGTGTCAATGACATGTTTACAGTTATGCTTTGGGTCACTGTGTCAATGACATGTTTACAGTTATGCTATGGGTCTCTGTGACCATGACGTGTACAGTTATACTTTGGGTCACTGTGTCTATGACATATTTACAGTAATGTTTTGGGACACTGTGTCAATGACATGTTTACAGTTATGCTATGGGTCACTGTGTCAATGACGTGTACAGTTATACTTTGGGCCACTGTGTCAATGACATGTTTACTGTTAAGTTTTTGGCCACTGTGTCAATGACGTGTTTACAGTTATGCTATGGGTCACTGTGTCAATGACATGTTTACAGTTATGCTATGGGCCACTGTGTCAATGACATGTTTACAGTTAAGTTTTGGGCCACTGTGTCAATTATGTGTGCAATTTTTCTTGTTACAGTTCAGTAAATATGGGTTGCAGGTTTTTATTCCAACACTCCGTCTGTTGGGGATCTGTATTCGGCCACCGTGTCACTTTCATATGTACAGTTAAGTTTTTGGCCAACATGTTAATCAGACGTAAACAGTTCTTTCATTGGCCACTGTGTTAATTAAGTGTAGGCCTACATAGTTCTGTTTTTGGCCACTGTTTTAATTAGGTGTGCACAAATCTTTGTCAGCTAATGACTGGGCGCTAGAATATTGGGTTCATATTCGTTTTTTGGGATTTCCATTTCTGGGTAGGTTGCTGTTTTTTTTTGCAGGTTGGCTTTCTTCTGCTTGTACTAATTGCTAGTTGGTATTGTCAATGAGGCTAGAAACTGAAGTGCTGTCGGGTTGCGGATATTGGCTGATGCATTACTGGTTGGGCGAGTGACTTGCGGATAACTGCTGATTCTCGGTCGTGCGGGAGGCTTGTCGGCTAGCGGACCAACTGGATAGCTGTTGACTAATTAGTTTGCTGCTAATTAGATGGCGGCAGGTTTGTTGACATGTATATGGCGGCAGGTTTGTTGACGTGTATACGGCTGGCGTCTTGATTGTGGACGTGTGGGCTAGCTAGTAAAGCGTTGATGATTTATAAGCTGGCGTCATTTTTGTTGAGAGCTAGCAGGCTATATGTTGAAGATTAGAAGCCTGGCAGCTGGTTGGCTGTGGGTTAGTGAATCGGCTGATAACGGACGCTAGGCATATTGAGGCTGGCTGGTAATACGTTGATGGATGGTTGGATGGTGTCTACTCTCTTATTTGCTTTTGGGCTTATAATGTTTTGACATATAATAGGTTGACGTCCATTTTCTTGTTGGTAATACATTGACTGATAATAGGCTGGCTTCTTCTTGGTTGTGGGCTTGTGAGCTGACTGAAAAATTATGGTTGATTTTTATTTTACTGCTTCTCTTTATATATCGTAATATTGTAAAACAATAATTCCTAATCGGATTGATTACTATGCAACACAAACAAATATATTGCTTCTGTTGTATATTGCTAACCATAAACAGTATTGAATATTTATTAGCACTGAGAGCTAAACTGTGAAAACTGAGCGTTAAGAGTTAGGAACTCACCATTTATTTCTGAGTGCTAAATCTTTCTGTCAGTTGTTTTTGGCAGGATTCTTGTTGGGTTGTAGAAATCATGTTGGGTTGCAGAAATCTTGTTGGGTTGCAGAAATCTTGTTGGGTTGCAGAAATTATGTTGGGTTGCATAAAGCATGTTGGGTTGCATAAAGCATGTTGGGTTGCATAAATCTTGTTGGGTTGCAGAAATCTTGTTGCGTTGCAAAATCTTGTTAGGTTGCAGAAATCATGTTGGGTTGCAGAAATCTTGTTGGGTTGCAGAAATTATGTTGGGTTGCAGAAATTATGTTGGGTTGCATAAATCATGTTGGGTTGCATAAATCTTGTTGGGTTGCAGAAATTTTGTTGGGTTGCAGAAATCTTGTTGGGTTGCAGAAATTATGTTGGGTTGCATAAATCTTGTTGGGTTGCATAAATCTTGTTGGGTTGCAGAAATCTTGTTGGGTTGCAGAAATCTTGTTGGGTTGCAGAAATCTTTTCTTTTTTACAGGATTCGCGGGTTGTAAAAATCACGTTGGGTTGTAGAAATCATGGTGAGTTTCAGAATCTTTTCTTTTTTTGCAGGTGTCACGTTGTGTTGCAGAAATCATTTAGGGTTGTAGAAATCGTGTTGGGTTATAGAAAGGATGTTGGGTTGCAGAAATCATGTTGGGTTGCAGAAATCATGTTGGATTGTAGAAATCTTGTTGGGTTGCAGAAATCATGTTGGTTTGGAGAAATCTTTTCTTTTTGCAAGCCACTGTGTCAATGACATGTTTACAGTTATGCTTTGGGCCACTGTGTCAATGACATGTTTACAGTCATGCTTTGGGCCACTGTGTCAATGACATGTTTACAGTCATGCTTTAGGCCACTGTGTCAATTTTGTATGCAATTTTTCTTGTTACAGTTCAGTAAATATGTGCTGCAGGACTCATGATGGGTTGCAGGATTCTTTTGGGTTGCAAAAAATCTTGTTGGGTTGCAGAATTCTTGTTTTTGGCAGGATTCTTGTTGGGTTGTAGAAATCATGTTGGTTTGCAGAAATCATGTTGGATTGCAGAGATCTTGTTGGGTATTAGAAATCATGTTGGGTTGCATAAAGCATGTTGGGTTGCAGAAATCTTGTTGGGTTGCAGAAATCATGTTGGATTGCAGAGATCTTGTTGGGTATTAGAAATCATGTTGGGTTGCAGAAATCTTGTTGGGTTGCAGAAATCTTGTTGGGTTGCAGAAATATTTTCTTTTTTGCAGGATTTGCATTGGGTTGCAGAAACCTTGATAGGTTGCAGAAATCATGTTGGGTTGCTGTAATCGTGTTGGGATGCAGAAATCTTGTTGGGTTGCAGAAATGAAATCTTATTGGGTTATAGAAATCTTTTCTTTTTTTTTGCAGGATTCGTGTTGGGTTTCAGAAATCATTTTGGGTTGCAGAAATCTTGAATTTTTTGGTAGATTCTTGATGGGTTGCATGATTCTTGTTGAAGAATTGTTGATGGGTTGCCAGATTCTTGTTGAGGTTCAGGATTCTTGTGGGGTTGAGGATTCTTGTTCTGTTGAATGATTTATGTTTGGTTTCAGAGATCTTGTTGGGTTGCAGGATTTTTGATGGCTTGCAGGTTTCTTGATGGGTTACAGTATTCTTGATGGGTTACAGGTTTCTTGATGGGTCACAAGTTTCTTGATGGGTTGCAGGATATATGTTAGGTTGTGTTATTGTTTTTAGGTGGTAGGTTTCTTAATGGATGGCAGGTTTCTTGATGGTTTGCAGGATTCTTTTTGAGTAGCAGGATTTTTGGTGGGTCACAGAATTCATGATGAGTTGCAGAATTCTTGAAGGATTGCAGGATTTTTTATGGGTTACACAATTATTGTTGATTTGCATAATTCTTGTTTTTTGGTAGGATCCTTGTTGGATTGCAGAAATCTTTTTGGGTTGCAAAATTCATGATTGCTTGCAGGATTTTTGATGGGTTACAGTATTCTTGATGAGGTACAGGATTGTTAGGTTGAAGAAATCTTGCATTATTTTTTTTTTTTTTAGGATCCTTGTTTGGTTTGCAGAAATCATGTTGGGTCGCTGGATTCTTGATGGGCTGCAGGTTTTTTTGTTTGGTTGCAGAAAACTTGTTGATTTGCATAATTCTTTTTTTTGTAGGATCTTTGTTGGGTTGCGGAAATCTTTTTGGGTTGCAGGATTCTTGTTCGGTTGCAGGACTTTTGATGGGTTGTAGAATTCTTGTTGATTTGCACAATTCTTGTTTTTTGGTAGGATCCTTGTTGGGTTGCAGAAATCTTTTTGGGTTGCAGGATTCTTGATGGGTGGCAGGATTCTTGATGGGTGGCAGGTTTCTTGATGGGTGGCAGGTTTCTTGATAGGTTGCAGGATTCTTTTTGAGTTGCAGGATTTTTGAATGGTGGAAGAATTCTTGATGGTTTGTAGGATTCTTGTTCGGTTGCAGGATTTTTGATGGGTTGTAGAATTTTTGATAGGTGACAGGATTCTTGATGGATTGCATCTTTTTATTGGGTTGCAGCTTTTTGTTGGGTTGCAAAATTCTTGATGGGTTGAAAGATTCATGTCGGTTGCATGATTCATGGTTGGTTGCAAGATTCATGGTTGGTTGCATGATTCTTATTTGGATGCAGAATTCTAGGCTTGATTCGTGTAAGCTCTTGTCTATTGGTTTTGAATGCTCTTTGGTTGATGGCTAGAGGTCAGGTTGCTGGTCAACTAGTAGGATGGTTACTTGTCTGCTTCTTTGCGGACTTATGTCTAGTTGTTAGCTGATGTGCTAGCAGATGGTTGCTTGTATGGTATTGCTCTGGATGTTAGAATATTGGGTTTGTAGTCGTTATTGGTATTTCCATTTATGGGTAGGTTGCTGTTTGTTTTTGGCTGGTTGGCTTTCTTCTGCTTGTACTATTTGCTAGTTAGTATTGTCAATGAGACTAGGTACTGAAGTGCTGTCGGGTTGTGGATGTTTTCAGATTCATTACTGGTTGGGCGAGTGACTTGCGGATAACTGCTGATTCTCGGTCGTGCGGGATGCTTGCAGGCTGGTGGGTTAGCAACTGGAAATCTCTTGGCTAATTAACTTGCAGCTAATTAGATAGCAGCTGGTTTTTTGACGGGTATAAGGCTGACTTCTTGGTTGTGAGAAAGCTGGTGAAAGGTTGATGATAAAAAGCTGGCTTCATTTGTGTCGTGAGCTAGCAAGTAATATGTTGATGGAAAGTAGGCTAGTCTCTTTTTTGTAAGGGCTTTGGGCTGATAATATTTTGACATATAATAGGTTGACGTCCATTTTCATGTTGACTTGAAGGCTGGCAGATATTACATTGACTGAGAGTATGCTGGCTCCTTCTTGGTTGTGGGCTTGTGGGCTGTCTGAAAAATGGTGTGTATTAGTTTACTTAGCTTCTTTATATATCATATAATTAGAATACAATACTTCCAAATCTGATTTATTACTATTTAACAAAAATGTATTGCTTCTATTAAAACTTTAAACATTATTTTTGTTTATTAGTACTGAAATCTAAACTGTGAAAACTGAGCATTAAGCATCAAGCACTCACCAATAATTTCAGAGCGTTTAATCTTTCTGCCTGTTGTGTCGCAGTGTTCTTGTTGATTCACAAAAATCATGTTGAGTTGCATCTTCATCTTGGGTTTGTTTAAGGGCTGCAGAGATCTTGTATTGTAGAATTGGGTTGGAGGGTTCTTGTCGGATTGTAGAATTCTTGATGGGTTCCCGGCACCCGGGTTAGATCCAGGTTCTAGCTGGCTGCCGGTTGGTTTCTGTTTCTGGTTTCAACGCGTTCTTGTTCTTACCTAATAAACTGACTGTTGTTTGCCGTTTAGTGGTGTTAATTGTCGTATGTTAGTTTGTAGACCTTGGATGGTTACGTTTGATTATTGAGTTGTCGTTAGTTAGTCGGTTGTCGGTTAATGGTGATAGCTGTGGTTCGTTGGTTGGTGGTCGTTGGTTGGTTGTTAATGGGTAAGTTGTCGTTCGTTGGTCAGTTGTCGGTTAGTGGTGTTAGTTGTGGTTCGTAGTTTTGTGGTCGTTGGTTGGTTGGTCGTCGGTTAGTGGATTAGTTGTCGTTGGTTGGTCGGTTGTCGGTTAATGGTGTTAGTTGTGGTTCGTAGTTTTGTGGTCGTTGGTTGGTTGGTTGGTCGTCGATTAGTGGATTAGTTGTCGTTGGTTGGTCAGTTGTCGGTTAGTGGTGTTAGTTGTGGTTCGTAGTTTTGTGGTCGTTGGTTGGTTGGTTGGTTGGTTGGTCGTCGATTAGTGGATTAGTTGTCGTTGGTTGGTCAGTTGTCGGTTAGTGGTGTTAGTTGTGGTTCGTAGTTTTGTGGTCGTTGGTTGGTTGGTCGTCAATTAGTGAATTAGTTGTCGTTGGTTGGTCGGTTGTCGGTTAGTGGTGTTAGTTGTGGTTCGTAGTTTTGTGATCGTTGGTTGGTTGGTTGGTCGTCGATTAGTGGATTAGTTGTCATTGGTTGGTCGGTTGTCGTTGGTTGGTCAGTTGTCGGTTAGTGGTGTTAGTTGTGGTTCGTAGTTTTGTGGTCGTTGGTTGGTTGGTTGGTCGTCGATTAGTGGATTAGTTGTCGTTGGTTGGTCGTTTGTCGGTTAGTGGTGTTAGTTGTGGTTCGTAGTTTTGTGGTCGTTGGTTGGTTGGTCGTCGATTAGTGAATTAGTTGTCGTTGGTTGGTCGGTTGTCGGTTAGTGGTGTTAGTTGTGGTTCGTAGTTTTGTGATCGTTGGTTGGTTGGTTGGTTGGTCGTCGATTAGTGGATTAGTTGTCGTTGGTTGGTCGGTTGTCGGTTAGTGGTGTTAGTTGTGGTTCGTAGTTTTGTGGTAGTTGGTTGGTTGGTCGTCGGTTAGTGGATTAGTTGTCGTTGGTTGGTCGGTTGTCGGTTAATGGTGTTAGTTGTGGTTCGTAGTTTTGTGGTCGTTGGTTGGTTGGTCGTCGATTAGTGGATTAGTTGTCGTTGGTTGGTCAGTTGTCGGTTAGTGGTGTTAGTTGTGGTTCGTAGTTTTGTGGTCGTTGGTTGGTTGGTCGTCGATTAGTGGATTAGTTGTCGTTGGTTGGTCGTTTGTCGGTTAGTGGTGTTAGTTGTGGTTCGTAGTTTTGTGGTAGTTGGTTGGTTGGTCGTCGATTAGTGGATTAGTTGTCGTTGGTTGGTCAGTTGTCGGTTAGTGGTGTTAGTTGTGGTTCGTAGTTTTGTGGTCGTTGGTTGGTTGGTCGTCAATTAGTGAATTAGTTGTCGTTGGTTGGTCGGTTGTCGGTTAGTGGTGTTAGTTGTGGTTCGTAGTTTTGTGATCGTTGGTTGGTTGGTTGGTCGTCGATTAGTGGATTAGTTGTCATTGGTTGGTCGGTTGTCGTTGGTTGGTCAGTTGTCGGTTAGTGGTGTTAGTTGTGGTTCGTAGTTTTGTGGTCGTTGGTTGGTTGGTTGGTCGTCGATTAGTGGATTAGTTGTCGTTGGTTGGTCGTTTGTCGGTTAGTGGTGTTAGTTGTGGTTCGTAGTTTTGTGGTCGTTGGTTGGTTGGTCGTCGATTAGTGAATTAGTTGTCGTTGGTTGGTCGGTTGTCGGTTAGTGGTGTTAGTTGTGGTTCGTAGTTTTGTGATCGTTGGTTGGTTGGTTGGTCGTCGATTAGTGGATTAGTTGTCGTTGGTTGGTCGGTTGTCGGTTAGTGGTGTTATTTGTGGTTCGTAGTTTTGTGGTAGTTGGTTGGTTGGTCGTCGATTAGTGGATTAGTTGTCGTTGGTTGGTCAGTTGTCGGTTAGTGGTGTTAGTTGTGGTTCGTAGTTTTGTGGTCGTTGGTTGGTTGGTTGGTTGGTCGTCGATTAGTGGATTAGTTGTCGTTGGTTGGTCAGTTGTCGGTTAGTGGTGTTAGTTGTGGTTCGTAGTTTTGTGGTCGTTGGTTGGTTGGTCGTCAATTAGTGAATTAGTTGTCGTTGGTTGGTCGGTTGTCGGTTAGTGGTGTTAGTTGTGGTTCGTAGTTTTGTGATCGTTGGTTTGTTGGTTGGTTGGTCGTCGATTAGTGGATTAGTTGTCATGGGTTGGTCGGTTGTCGTTGGTTGGTCAGTTGTCGGTTAGTGGTGTTAGTTGTGGTTCGTAGTTTTGTGGTCGTTGGTTGGTTGGTCGTCGATTAGTGAATTAGTTGGCGTTGGTTGGTCGGTTGTCGGTTAGTGGTGTTAATTGTGGTTCGTAGTTTTGTGGTCGTTGGTTGGTTGGTTGGTTGGTCGTCGATTAGTGGATTAGTTGTCATTGGTTGGTCGGTTGTCGGTTAGTGGTGTTAGTTGTGATTCGTAGTTTTGTGGTCGTTTGTTGGTTGGTCGTCGATTAGTGGATTAGTTGTCATTGGTTGGTCGGTTGTCGTTCGTTGGTCAATTGTCGGTTAGTGGTGTTAGTTGTAGTTTGTTGGCTGGTGGTCGACGTTTGGTTGGTTGTCGGTTAGTGGTAGGGTTGTGGTTTGTTGTTTCGTTTTGTTGGTTGGTTTTCAGTTGGGTAGTTGATGCTGGTTCTTTAAGGACATAATAACCTGACGGTTAGTTGGTTAACTTATTTTTTACTTAAACGCTAATGGCGGGCCTCTGTTTACTTGGCTCATGGCGGGCCTCTGTTTACTTGGCTCATGGCGGGCCTCTGTTTACTTGGCTCATGGCGGGCCTCTGTTTACTTGAAGGCTAATGACGGGCCTCTGTGTACTTGAAGGCTAATGGCGGGCCTGTTTACTTGAAGGCTAATGGCGGGCCTCTGTTTAGTTGATGGCTACTGGCGGGCCTCTGTTTACTTGAAGGCTAATAGCGGGCCTCTGTTTACTTGGCTCATGGCGGGCCTCTGTTTACTTGAAGGCTAATGAGGTGCCTCTGTTCACTTGAAGGCTAATGAGGTGCCTCTGTTTAATTGGCTCATGGCGGGCCTCTGTTTACTTGAAGGCTAATGACGGGCCTCTGTTTACTTGAAGGCTAATGAGGTGCCTCTGTTTACTTGTAGGCTAATGGCGGGCCTCTGTTTACTTGAAGGCTAATGGCGGGCCTCTGTTTACTTGAAGGCTAATGAGGTGCCTCTGTTTACTTGAAGGCTAATGAGGTGCCTCTGTTTACTTGAAGGCTAATGAGGTGCCTCTGTTTACTTGAAGGCTAATGAGGTGCCTCTGTTTACTTGAAGGCTTATGAGGTGCCTCTGTTTACTTGAAGGCTAATGAGGTGCCTCTGTTTACTTGAAGGCTAATGAGGTGCCTCTGTTTACTTGAAGGCTAATGAGGTGCCTCTGTTTACTTGAAGGCTTATGAGGTGCCTCTGTTTACTTAAAGGCTAATGGCAGGGCTCTGTTTACTTGAAGGCTAATGGCGGGGCTCTGTTTACTTGAAGGCTTATGAGGTGCCTCTGTTTACTTAAAGGCTAATGGCAGGGTTCTGTTTACTTGAAGGCTAATGAGGGGCCTATGTTTACTTGAAGGCTAATGAGGTGCCTCTGTTTACTTGAAGGCTAATGAGGTGCCTCTGTTTACTTGTAGGCTAATGGCGGGCTTTTGTTTACTTGAAGGCTACTGGCGGGCCTCTGCTTAATTGAAGGCTAATGAGGTGCCTCTGTGTACTTGAAGGCTAATGGCGGGGCTCTGTTTACTTGAAGGCTAATGGCTGGCCTCTGTTTACTTGAAGGCTAATGGCGGGGCTCTGTTTACTTGAAGGCTAATGGCGGGCCTCTGTTTACTTGAAGGCTAATGGCGGGCCTCTGTTTACTTGAAGGCTAATGGCGGGGCTCTGTTTACTTGAAGGCTTATGAGGTGCCTCTGTTTACTTAAAGGCTAATGGCAGGGCTCTGTTTACTTGAAGGCTAATGAGGGGCCTCTGTTTACTTGAAGGCTAATAGCCTCTGTTTACTTGAAGGCTAATGGCGGGCCTCTGTTTACTTGAAGGCTAAAGGACTAGTAGATTTCAAGTTTATGAACTGAAGAGAAGTCGGCTTGCTGCTGATGACTTGATGGCTAGTTGCATTGCTTTTGATGTCTGGATGGCTAGTTGGCTTTCTGTTAATGCATTAAAGGCTATTCAAATTGCTTATGATGACTTGGCTTATTCTCTACTTTCTTGTAAATGATTGGCCAGTTTGTTTCCTGCTGATGACTTAATGGCTAGTTGGATACCCTTATGATGTCTTGATGGATACTTGTTTTGCTTCTCTTGACAGCTACTTTTCTTGCTACTAATGAATAGATTGTTTATTAGTTTACTACTGATAACACGACAGCTATTTGACTTATTGCTGTTGATTTAATGGCTAGTTGGCTTGTTGATGATGCCTTGACAATCAGTTGGCTTGTTGCTGATGACATGACGGTTAGGTGGCTTGCTGATGATGTCTTGACGAATACTTGGTTTGCTTCTCTTGACTTAGCTACTCTGCCTGCTTCTAATCACTTGACAGCTACTTTTCTTTCTACTAATGAATAGATTGTTTATTAGTTTACTACTTACAACACGACAGCTATTTGACTTACTGCTGTTGATCAGCTAATTGGCTTGTTGATGATGCCTTAATGGCTAGTTGGCTTGTTGCTGATGATAGGACGACTAGGTGGCTTGCTTATGATATCTTGATGGATACTTGGTTTCCTTCACTTGACTTAGCTATTCTGCCTGCTGCTAATCACTTGACAGC